ATTTTGGGCTCAAAAAAAAGGATTTAGGGTTTAGGGTGACAGTTACTTGTCCGGCCGAAGAATCAAGCCCGGATGAAAAGGGTTTGCATCAAAAGTTTTGGCCCCCAAGAAGCATTCCCTGAACCTTAACAAAGCCTCCGTGGGCCCTGGGGACATTCTACCCCTCATATAAGGACCCCCAATAAGGCACCCCCGAATATCGGAAAACCCTCATATTCAGGAATATTTTTCAGAGGGTTTTAAGGACCAAGCCCTAAGCCTAAACCCTAAAGCCTAAACCCTAAACCCTAAACCGGCCATCCTAGAAGCAAAACGGTCGCAGCCTCAAGGAGACGCGCCGGACGCAGACTTCAAAACTTTCTTCGCGGGGACCAAGCTGGCTCTCTGGTGGCTGCCAGAGGCCGTGACCCTGCGGTTAGGGTAGGGTTTAGGGTTTAGGGTTTGGGGTTTAGGGTTTAGGGTTTAGGATTTGTTGTCACCATTCAGGGTGTTTTGTTAACGCTGTAGGGAACATTATTGCCAGTGCTACTGGTGCTATTCTCATGAATACTCAACATACTTCTTGAGAACCGTGATTGTGCATAATATAGGGTTTAGGGTTTTGGGTTTTGGGTTTAGGGTTTGTTGTTACCATTCAGGGTGTTTTGTTAACGCGGTTAGAGAACATTATTGCCAGTGCTACTGGTGCTAGTCTCATGAATACTCAACATACTTCTTGAGAACCGTGATTGCGCATGATGTTGTTGTGAATGTTGGGTGCTGTTGTTTTCGCTACTTCGATTTCTATTGGTGTAACCTTATTCTTGTTCCTCATATGCAAGCACTTGCAGGTGAACAACATGTGTCGAATACGTGGTCTCGGTTCCAAAGCGCGCGGCGACAAGAGGGGGGCTGCTGCTGGCCGCTGGCTTAAGTTGAGGGGCCTTAATAATTAGATTGGAGTTTCGGGGGGGGGGTTCTAATAACGGGACCTTCAGGGAATACCACTCGCAATTTCTTATTCCGACCCCTATGTGAGGGTTCTTTTCTCAACGGCGTGAGTAAACAGATGTCTGGTGCGGTTCGATATTCTTTAAAACTAAATGAGCCCCAACTTGGGGTCATATGCCCTGTACCACTCTAGTCCTTAGAAAGGTATATGAACCCTAAACCCTCAACCCTAAACCCTACACCCTAAACCCTAAACCCTTTTGTTCCTGTGTTCCCCGCCCCGAGGGTCTGTCTGAAAGCCACACCGAAGGTCGAGCCGGCGGTCTCAACATCGCTTTTGACCCCCAAAAGGCCAAGACTGCGGGTGCAGGTGGTCGGAAGCTGAGCTTCTACATTGACATGGATTTAGGGTTTAGGGTTTACTAGGGTTTACTAAGGTTTAGGGTTTAGGGTTTAGGGGGGTTTAGAATTTGCATGCAATGCAGCCGGCGAGATTGTCCGGAGCCCAGTCTTCAAAGGGGTTTAGGATTTTAGGGTTTTAGAGTTTTGGGGTTTTAGGGTTTTAGAATGCAAGAGCAGTAGCAAATGTCGGGCCAGATGCATCCTGTGAGGCAGCGAAGTCCGTAGCAGCCTCAGACTGGCCACAGGGTTTAGGGTTTAGGGTTTAGGGCTTAGGGTTCGCCCTAGCCGTAAGAAGGGTTTAGGGTTTAGGGTTTAGGGTTTAGGGTTTAGGGTTTAGGGTTTAGGGTTTAGGGTTTAGGGTTTAGGGCAAGTCGTTTTGCGGCCTGCCCTCCGCTCTTCAGCCCATGCCTGGTCGGAGCTCAACATAGGGGTTTTCGAAATTAGGGGTACCCTCTTGGGGTCCTGAGAAGAAGGTCCTATCAGAAGGGGTCTAGATTAGGGGCCCCTTATTTTCGTAAACCCCCATATCCCACTCAGTCCCACTCACTGCAAATTGCTTAAGAACCCAGAAAAACAAGGAAGGTTCTTCGTTATTAAGGTTAACATAGGGATCATTTTTGTTTTGTTCTTTTGGGGTTCTTAAGCAAACAGCAGTTGATACTGAAAATCTGAAGCCCTGAATTGAAATCCTGGACGACTTAGACTGAGGCCTGGCCCCAGCAAACAAGGGCCAAAAGGCCGGCTATGGGAGGGTTTGGGGTTTTGGGTTTAGCTCCCCCCCTCCTCTCAACCCTAAACCCTAAACCAGCCAACAAGCGCTCTAAGCCCGAGCCAGGCCCCAATCCCTGAACGCCCGAAGCCGTTGGACTTCTGAAAATGTCCTCGAATCCCCGAAGCCACGTTTAGATTCTTTCTGAAGGTGGACAGCGTCAACTTTGTCACCAAGGCGGCAAATCGCAAAGCTCAGTACATGCATGTTCGCATGCTTTTGCAGATCATGTCACCTTTGGACATGCTATGACTCTGTTGAATTAGGAGTACATACTTGGGAAGCCCCTTGCAGACAGAATAGCAGCTCTGCTTCAGGCACAAGATGGGCGGGCTAGGATGACTAACCTGAAGCATTCTACGAAAGGCCAGTCCGACATGCGAAGGCGCGCCGACACCTCAGTAGTCTGAGATGCAGGTGGCTTGCTCGTAGCCGAGTCATGACATGAAGCAGGGTTTGTATTTCTGTTATTAGCGACTGTATATAAGGTTCCTTTTTACATTGGTGAGTGTATATATTTGGTGTCCTTTTGGGGAGACAAGAAATATAAACCCTGCTTCACATCGCTTCACAACAGTCTTTTGCGCGCCTTTCTCTGCCCTGGCAACCGAGGCTTCGCTTTGAAACGGCGAGCCAGCGAGGGCGAGCCTGGCGAGTGTTCTTCATGTTGGTCGTTCATCGGCAAGCGAGCTCAATGAAGTTTACGTAAAGTTTACGCTGTTTCGGCTCTGCTGAATGACAGGCACTATTTGGCATACTTTCCTCCAACGTTTTTGAGAGCTGTTGCCCTGGCTGTCTTTTTCCTGTATCTCGTCCTAGAGTCTGCGTTTGTTCGGCGGGGTGGCTGGGATCAAGTGCTACCTCACGTCATCCGAGGTGGTTCCTTTCCTCGAAGAAGCAGAGGCTTTGACTTAGCAACCAACTGCCACCTTTTCTACTACTTAGGGCAGGGGACAGAGACAGAGACCACGCGAGGGGAATCACCCCAGGCAGCCAGATGCAACTCACTCTGTCTGACTATCTCTGTTTCTCTCTTTCTCTCTTTTGCCGGTGTGTCAACCGGTGAGGAGGAACCACCCTTCAAAGGAAAGTTAAGAAGACTTGCGCTGGCTCCAGGATCGAGTTCTCGACTTCATCTTTGTCGACTTTGAAAGCATGCCCGCGAACTCAGCTCGAGCGCATGCAATGTCGGAGCGGCTTGTGGGTGGTGCCAAGGTTCAAGTTCATCAACCTGGATGAAGTCTTGGAGCCTGTCTTCAGTCTGCCCCTGAGCGCTGCACAGGTAGACATGTGGAGCATGTGGGACATCCTAAACCCTAAACCCTAAACCCCAAACCCCAAACCCTAAACCCTAAACCCTAAACCCTAAACCCTAAACCCTAAACCCTAAACCCTAAACCCTAAACCCTAAACCCTAAACCCTAAACCCTAAACCCTAAACCCTAAACCCTAAACCCTAAACCCTATCCACAGACATTGCAGAAGCATTGTCATATGCCGCAGCCGTTAGGAAGGCATAAGGCAGAAGGCTGAGCTCAGGCATGGAGGAGCCTGGTGCATGGCCCGCTTCTCATGCTTCTTGAGATCGTGAAAGAGTTGCACTGCTACCCTAAACCCTAAGCCCTAAACCCTAAACACTAAACCCTAAACCCTAAACCCTAAGCCCTAAGCCCTAAACCCTAGTGTTGGGGCTGCTTTGAACCGACCCTGCTGCTGAGGATTGAGCTCGCGAAGCTGCAGGAAGACGAAGCTGTGAAGAGTCATTTCAAGGAGGCCTTTGTGCACCCCTAGCTGTAGAGTAGGGGCAACCTTTAACCTTGTTGGGGTAGTCGAATCCCCTTAGAATCCCAAAGGTTAACCTTTAATTCCCCCAGGTTACTGGACAACTAAGCACCAGTTAGTGCGGCGAGGTTGAGAGAAGCTGGTAGAAGTGGCAGGATACTGGTAGCGCTGCAGCATGATCAACCCTAAACCCAAACCTCAAACCCTAAACCCTAAACCTTATAAACCCTGAACCTGATAAACCCTAAACCCTAAACCCTTCGATGGCAGGTGATGGGGAAGCCTGTCTGGGATGCGGAGGACTTCCAGGCCTTGAGTGGCGTTACGAAGATCCTGGGTAGGATAAAGGGGGGCCTTAAACAGGAACCCTTCTTAACCCACTTCTGTCTCTTAAAGGCCTTATTCAGAGGGTCTAGATATCCCCAAGGGTACCCCGAATCCTATCCTTTAGAAGAACCCTGGCGAGGCCTACTTCGAGGGCCACTGGTCCACCTTCGAGTACAAGCCGAAGGACACACCAAAGTCGCGGCTTCGAGTTCTGAATGATGGAATGACGAAGCAGCCTTTGCAGGAGAAGCTGGTGCGCCTCAGGCCCCAAACCTCTGCGAAGCAGTCGATAGTTGCAGTCAAAGCCCATAGGACTACAGAAAGTAGAGTGACCACGGAAGCTTCAGTTCTCTTCATCATTGGGAAGCCTCTTTGCTGGTTGAGCTGGCAGACTTGAAGGCCAGGTAGGCCCTTGGCATACCTGATCTTTTTCTGTTATTGTGTTCACGAGGATCATATTTAGGATCTTTTCCAGAGGGTGTTAAGGGCCATCCCAGAAGAAGACGCGCGAAGATCTCAATGTCCAGGAATTTCTCATGGCTCAGCAAAGCCCGATCATGAAAGGCATCTACTTCGGGAACACAGGTTCAATCGTGTAAACCCTAAACCCTAAACCCTAAACCCTAAACCCTAAACCCTAAACCCTAAACCCTAAACCCTAAACCCTAAACCCTAAACCCTAAACCCTAAACCCTAAACCCTAAACCCTAAACCCTAAACCCTAAACCCTAAGCCCTGCTTTGTTTCAACATGCAGCCTACGGAGCCATGATCTGCGATCTCCTTTGTCCCGGGGTGCAGCTGCGGTGTTACGCGGCCGCGCGACCGCAGAAAGCTTACTGTTGGTTAGCAGGGAATGTATCCTTAAAGCGTATTTATTTATCCATATATGTATATACATATATATATATATGCATATATATATATATATATATCCCTCATTCCCTGCGAACCGACAGTAAGTATGTGTTGAATGCGCCAGCTGACGACTCTTTCCCACCTCAGGTGCTGCAGCTGGCCGTGGCTTTGAGCAGCCAGGTGCCACCGCACGCTGGTCAGGGTGCAGGGTTCAGGGTTCAGGGTTCAGTGTTCAGTGTTTAGGGTTTAGGGTTTAGGGTTTAGGGTTTAGGGTTCAGGGTTTAGGGTTTAGGGTTCAGGGTTCAAGGTTTCGGGTTTTGGGTTTAGGGTTCTGGCAGTCAAACGCCCTCAGTCCAGCTGCAAAAAAGCAAGTCCAGCTTCAAAAAGGGTGGAGGGTTTAGGGTAACTTGGCTCCAGGGAGCTTCTCGAGTGAACGAGGAAAGAAGAGAGCCCTGAGACAGGAGTTCCGAGACCCTCTGGCGCAATGCCTTCGGCAGGGACTGGTGGGTTGGCACCTTAGATCGGTAGTTTGGGACAAGGTTTAGGTTTAGGGATTAGGGGTAAGGGCCACTGTTCATGATGTCGAGGTTCGATGCCTCCACCCGACATCCTCATCATGCAGGTGCATGGGGGCTTCCGAAACTAGAGGTGCCCTTTTTGGGGTACCGTTCAGGGGATTCTATTCTATTTGGGGTATGAAAGGGATACCCCTATTTTGGGAAATACCCATGTATGCTGTGCATCGAGCAGCTGCGCAAAGCTTCACGAGAATCTTCGGATGCGGCAGGATGTGACGCAGCGCGCAGCGTTCTTCCAGCGATCGGCAGCCTTTTGGACCTGTTCTTTTGCGCAGCAGCCCTGGCCAAGAGCGAAGTGGGGGTTTGCAATCATAAGGGACCCCTGATACTGATATAGACCCCCAAAATTCATAAGGACCCCAATAAAGATATATACCCACTAAGATCGCAAACCCCCTCGTGGTTCGAGTGTGGGGATCCTTGGTGAGTAGCACAAGGGAGCCTGAGGTTCGTGACGGCAATTCTTGGCCACCTGATCTCAGCGTTCAGGACTCTTCCGGACATCCAGTCGTCGGCCATGTTTTCTGAAGGGAGTTGGCAAGAGATGTGCTTCCGGAGTTGGGGGCTTCAGAGGTTGAAGAGTTTGCGGGGATCGAGATTCTGAAAGATTTTGAACTTTGGAAAGGTTCGAGTTCGAAGTTTGAGGATACTTGCAAGCAGGTTTCAAAACTCCGAATTCAAAAACTTGAAACTCTTCAAGGTTCATGCTCGTCTCGAACTCACTCTCCAAACTTTCGCACCTCCGAGTCTAACTTCGCAGAGTCGGTGTCTAACGGAATTGCAGGTTTGAGAGTCTGAGGGTCTGAGGCCTTTCAAACCCTCGAAAGCTTGAACGCGAACGCGGCCGAGTTTGAGGGCTTGAGAGGTTGAAAGCTTGAACCTCCAAACCCTGAAACCCCAAAGCTTGAATGTTTCGAGCTCTGGAAATGCGGCGTGGCCGGCGTCACGCGCGTGAGAGTTCGCAAGCTTGGAGTTCGAAGCATGCTCGAGCTCGCGAGGATCCTTGTTTGACGGATTCAAAGTTTGAGAGGTTGTTATTCTGATGCCGATGCGCGTTAACTGAACCCTAAACCCTAAACCCTACACCCTACACCCCAAAACCCCAAACCCTAAACCCTAAACCCTAAACCCTAAACCCTAAACCGCAGCCCCGAGTTGGAGAGTTTCCTGGGTTTGGAACTGTTTGGAGTTTGACAGTTCCAGAGGTTGACTTCCTCTTTATTCAGACCGCGCGCAGGTTACCGGGATCCTTTCCTGTGCCTCGGTTTAGGGTTTAGGGTCTAAGAAAGTTCCCTCTTTTTCGTTCTTCAAACCTGCAAGTTTCTCAAACTCCAAGCTGTCAAGTGTCATTTTGGAATGTAAGCTTTCAAAGGTTCGAAGCTGAGAAGACGTTGTCGTGACATGTTGCGCCAAATTGTCCGGTTCGCCATACACTGTCCTTTCTCTCCCTGGTCCTTAGTGGGAATGAGAGAATGAGGTACCCTATATATGTATATATAAGCTTTAAGGGATTTTATAGGGCACCTCATTCCCTCATTCCCTAAACCCTAAACCCTAAAATACTCAGAACCAGCCAGTTCTGTGAAGGAGATCTGAGTATGAACCTCCAGTGGCAGTTGCTCTAGGCCCGAAGCTCGGGGCACACTCCCCCCACCCCCACCCCTCCTGCTCAAAGCTATCTCTGGAAGTACCCCTAAACCCTAAACCCTAAACCCTGAACCGAGAACCCTAAACCCTGCCATGTAGCTTGAGATGCCTCCGAGGTTGGTGCGTGCTTTGTGGGACTGGAGCTGCAATGATGCCATGCAGCACCTTGGCCTGTTTAGGGTTTAGGGTTTAGGGTTTAGGGTTTAGGGTTTAGGGTTTAGGGTTTAGGGTTTAGGGTTTAGGGTTTAGGGTTTAGGGTTTAGGGTTTAGGCTTCTACTTGGAGGTTCGTGGTACTTCAGAACCAAGTATAACTGTACTTATGCCTCACTTCTAAGCCCCTCAAGTGCCCTAATATGGTGATAAGCACAGTTAAAAGTACACTTGGTTCATAAGTACCATGCACCTCCAAGTAAGATTCGATCACTTCCATCACGTCAAGGGCGTGAGTTTGGGGGGTTTTACGAAAAGAGGGGGCCCCAATAGAAAGATCCCCAAAATAGTAGGATCCCCTTAGAATAAAGGCCCAAAATGGTACCCCCGAACCCCCCCCCCCCCCCCCCCCAAATTTCGGAGACCCCCATTTGCTCTGGCCAAAGGTCTTTTCTGGCTCGGCCTGGCCATTGGAGTGCCCGGAGCTTGGAGTGGCCCGAAGCAGCGCAAGCTCAGCCCAAGGAAGCCCAACAACTTGGCAGCCCAGGGGTACCCTTTACCCTTTTTTTTTTTTGCTCTGGTTTCCCTTTTCAAAATAGCCAACCCCAAAAAAGGGTGCCCTTATTATAATATGGTTGCTGGGCTACCAAGAAAAAGAACAGCACGAGGTGGATGCTGGTCATGCATCAGCTGGGCTCTTTCGATGAGTCTTCGCACGAAGGCTTCACGTGCTCGTGCGATGTGGCGGGATGCGCTAGACTTCCGAAATATATATATATATATATGTATATATATATATAAACATATATAATATTATATAAAATAAATAAATACATATATATATATATAATATAATGCCAGATCCAAAGTTCGCTCCGGAGCAAGATCTTCGTCTGTTGAGCAGCGATCAGGCGGGGAGGTAAGCACATCATGCTTTGACATAGCTTGACACCCTTGCAAGATCGCAAGAAACTGCTCAAGTTGGCCCTGCCCTGCGCAGCACTTCCAGAACGCAGCCCTGCAAATCCACGACACGGACCCTGCCAAAATTGCTGCTCGGCTGAAATTCCATGCGCCTATCCAGCTCCGGCACGTGCAAGGCATGTTCTGCATGGCATTGGTTGCTGGCCTGCTTGCCTCTTGCTTTGCTCTACAGCATAGTGATAGGCTAGAGCAAGTGGTACACATGTGCTCCGCCTCATGACAATTGTGGCCAAGGTCATCTCAATGAAGACTCTGCTTTGCTTGATAGCCTCCGCCTCAGATGTAGCCAAACCGCATGCGAGATGCTTGTGGCCGAGAGATGCATGCAAAATATGGCTGAGACATTAACAGCCGCATACGCCTTCTTGGTACCTGGCAGCTTGGAAGCATAAGAATTGGCACAGACAGATGCGCCCAAGTCCTTACGGAGCGCATACCTCACACTTTGGGGCTAAGCCTCCGCTGGGTTTCAGGCATTGTGACCAAAATGTTCTCAGCGAAAGCGGTTGTTGGGGCCAGCGCCACTGGGCCTGGATGGTTGTTCAGCTGTCGGTCCTGCCAACCTGCACCTATGCCTAAGTCTTCATAGTGCGCCGCAACCCAACGGGCCCGAGGTAGTTCTTGACATCGAGAAGTCCACGTTGGGATTGATTCTCCTGCTGCACCAAAATGGGATGTGGCTGGCAGCTCTTATAATCCTTGGATACTCTGCGCAAGCCTCAGGTCAACTCTGGGAATGCGGGAACACTGTCATGTCTGCAACGCTGTGCACAGCTGTACAGAGCAGCTTCTCTCAGGTTCTCATGCCTTTTGCGAAGCTGGTCGTGCTCATTAGCTATGCGCATCCGGCCCTGAGAATCAGTGGGCTTGCTTCACCTGGAGCCGTCAGGCAGCTACCAGTGTGTGTCCTATTCAATCGTGTTTTGTTATTATGTTGCTGTATATCTCAATCATGCTATTATTAACATCACTATATTATTATGCGATTTTAGTTTTCTGTGCTTTGGCTATCAAATTTCGTACTTTCATTGTCCAATACAGTTTCTCATTATGTGATATTGTTGTAGTGCTGAATTGTCGTATGTTAGATAAATATGACTATTTCACAAAACTACTATTTTATTGTTAAACAAATTGATATTCTATCGTACCATTTTATTTGTACATTGTTATATTAGTATATTTCTTATTCCTATATAGATATTTTGTTTTTGTTGTGAAATTTACATTTTTCGAATATAATATGTTTTTACGTTATCTTATGTTTATAAATATTACTTTTTACATTGAATTAAAATGTAGTATTTTTATTCTCTTACCACATCATATATTGCTCTATTGTCTATTTAGCATACTGCATGAGCAAAAACAAGTTGTTATTCATATTTATATCTTCGTACATGTTATACTCTTATTTTGTTCTGTGTTTTATAGATATTTCAATGTGATTACATAAGTATGTGAGTATATGTTCTTGTGTTTTCAGATTTTCGGCTCTTACATTCTTATGGCAGCTGTGGGGCAATGCTGTCAGGGCACCCCACAAGGAGTGGTGCGCAAATATGTGTCGCATCTCACCGAAGCTTTTGGACCAGGGCGGTGCAGAAGATCTCGAAGTGGGCGACAGTCGATGTCTTCACTGCTGGGACGATCTGCGGGTTGTTTTGCCAGCCTCACTTGTACTTGGAGGCAGTTGCATGGCTCGTGCAGCAGCATGCGCAGCAGCATGCGCAGCAGTGGCCTACAAAAGTGCTTGCATCTGCTTGCTGCAGATCAAGCTGCATGATGGCTTCTACTATTTCATGGGCTATTGCGTTCCAGGCTCAGGAGGTGGACTCTTGTGCCGCAGGCGTAGATTCCAGTTGTTGACGCGTGCGAAATCACAGCGTCGACAGCGCGATGGTAGTGAGGTTTTGAGTGTGATTGGCGCGCTGCTGATCGACTTGCCTGCTGAGCACAACACGGCCCGTTGTGTTCGTGCGTTCTGTCTGTCTGTAAGCTTCAGTCCAACTTGCTCTCTGAAGCTAGAGGCGGTGCTGATACGAACATGGGATGAGTACAGAATTGAAGCAACCTTTAGCCACATGCCAGCCTCGCAGAAGCGCGAGGGCACACAAGAATTGCCGGATGTCCATGACGATGGCGACAGCACTGCCTCAGCTCGACCACGTTCACCTGCCGGGTCCTTGGACCGTGGCTGAGGATACAATCTTTCAGTGTTCCAGTGTGTGCCAAAATCCACGAGGCGCTGCCAGTGGCTGCCAGTATATTGGCCATCGGGACTGTAGCAAGCATGGCCTTGCTGCCCCTGATGAAGGCCCGATTTGCCATAGGGCGAACCTGAATCGCAAGGATAATGGACTATAGTATACGAGAGACCCAATCTAGACTAGACAACGGATGGCCAGAGAGAGAAGTATATAGCGTCATCATTTCTTTGACTATGCCAAGGCCATGCGTCCTATATAGCTGACAGCGCAAGCTTGAAGAAGCTGCCCATCTCACCACAACATGTCAAGAACCGGCAAAGCAGCGCTGCGTATCCGGAGCTGCGCACATCTTCCACATTCTACGCACACGATGGCGACACCTTTAGCACGAAACGACGCTCCGAAACCAACGACAGTTTCGAGAGGAGGAAGCTGCCGAACACCCGGAATGCCTGTGGCTGCTGACACATTTACCGCAGAGAGAGGAGGATCCAAAGACGACAAGACGCGAGGGCGGCGACCACGAGCCGTGTGCAGAGCGAAGGTGGCCACCGCTGAGATTCGAGGGTGCAGAAACAACTGCAGTTCTGAGAATGGACGGCGACATGCGAGTCACACCCAGGGGGTTTCCTGTTTTTGAATTTAAGGGCCGAAAATGACGACATCTTCGAGGATGGCGACGACTACATGCCACACAGGCGAACCAAGCAGGTTGTCACTTTTGAACCGCAAGTCTTGTCCAACTGCGCTCGCCGGCTGATCAACTGTCATCTAGCATCAAAGTCGTGAGAGAGTCCTACTTTGTACTGAGTGAGAATGGTTTAGGGACGAGTGTCAGCTCTCGGCCGCATAAATTCAAGAGTGTGTTGAATTGTTGTTTCATCCCGGCCTGCGCCCCCCCAAAACCTGCTCCCTACACCCTAAACCCTAAACCCGAAAACGAATCTGGCAGTGACGCTGTTGGCTTCACTTGTTCCCGGTCGCGGCAGGTAACCTTTCCTCTCATCGGTCTGGACGCGAGCGTGTCCATCGTCATGTTGGTTGCTTCCTTGTGGGAGTCTACACTGCAAACAGATGCCACACGAACTGCTTTTCTTTAGCAGGACAGAAAAGCTGACGGCTTAATCAGAAGGCACTTTCACTCCCGATCGTCAGGAAGACCGATTAGGGTGTAGGAGTTCATTCAGCCGCGTTTGGGGTTTAGCGTTGCGATATCTTCCAGGGATGACAGTAGGTTGCTTCATGCAATCCAGGCCCTCCTCGTTTTGCGACCAGCCTCCCATTGTTTGACGATGTGTTTTCTCGATCGCGCCCTGCCCTATTAACCCCCCTATAAACCCACATTTACCTTGTAAACCCCAATAATACACCCCTATAAACCCATATTGACCCTTATAATACATGGTCACGTCCGCTGGCTTTCTTTCTCAGCGTAGGGGGTTTTACGATATTCGGGGTACCCTTTTTTGGGTTCCTTATTGTAGGGGGATCCTACAAATTTGGGGGGTTTTACAAAAGGGGTCCCTTATTTTCGTAAACCCCTATATGTTCTGCCTGTGCCCAGTTCTTGGCCTTAGGACAAGGGCTTCGCTGGCGCAGCTGTGTGTTTCGCTGCTTGGCTGCTGAAGCCATACATGAGACCTGTGATGAGGTGCTTGCAAGTATAATATTGCAAGCATAACAATACAAAAACTTACAAAAGATGATAACCTGAGAATATAGCTATAATCATAATAACTAGAATCATCTAACAATACACTTACAAACATGTATACATACATATATATATGTGTATAACAAGAAAAGTAGTAATGACAAAAAGTATGATTCAACCAAGGCCCTGGTGCTTCTCCTCGTGCCCGTCGTGGACGTGGCGCTGTGCGCAGCGGCCACTGGCCGCTGCAATCCGGCCCGAACCTCGGGCGAGGGCATCAACAGGGTTTAGGGTTTCGGGTTTAGGGTTTAGGGTTTAGGGTCAGAGCAGCAACAGAGCAGCAACAGTGACGAACTCGTTTCCGCGGACTGAACGGCTTTCTCCGCGGCAAGGCATCGTGCCAGTGTTCGGGCTAGGAGGCGTGACCCGTTGTGAACTGAGGTGCCAGCGGGGCTCAGGCACCAGTTGGCCAAAGCAAGAAGCAAGGTTGAGATCCAGGCGTGTTTGTTCGCAGGCCCTGGTTTCGGGATTTCGCCATGCTGGATGTGTACGCGCTGGCCTGCGTTGTCGTGTTGTCGGCAGTGATCCTTGGAGAAGCAGGTCATGTTTCATTCACGCATCTCTCTCTTGTGATTCTTGTGTCCAAGGACTGCTTTGAACAACGACCTTCATTTGCACCTACTGCCTGCTGGGTGGGTCTTGTGTTCGCTGACGGTGCCATGGGTAGCTTCTTGGCCTTGAGCTGGAATCTACTGCGGAGGCTTTGTGGTCACCCACCTATAAGTCCCTTACTTACCCAAAAATACGGTCATAATTGGGTTCTAAGTGCAACTACTATTTGATTAGTAAGTACCATGAACCTCCAAGTGCTGCGGCGGTTTTGTGTTGTGCCGGTATCGGAATTCCGCTGCTGGCTTGCCACTGGCGACTGAGGTGTTTTCTTGGGCCAGGCCTTGCAACTAGCTCGCCAGCAGCACCAAGGGCCTGCCACTCCAGGCTCACCAAGGGGGACCTCTGATACCCCCCGCCCCGGTTGTTGGAAGTTTCGCAGGGGGGCTCCTTAAGACTATATAATAATCATCATCATCATCATAATAAGAATAAGAATAAGAAGAATAATAAGAGTTTGGGCAAAGTATGCAGAGTTCTTTGACAGGAGCGCATGACTTCAGCTCCCCTGAGGCCGTGCGGGCCTTGCAAAAGAGTTTCGCGAATTTTGCCCTGGTGGGACGAAGCAAGTACAGGAGGCCAAAGACCCTGCTTTCACATGCTGACAAGAAGCATTGGAGAGCCCAGGGCCACCTTCGGGCTAGCGCCCCGAAGTCCAGTCTCAGGAGGTACACGTTGTGCAGAGAAGTCCGAATGATGGATGCCTCATCCCGCTTTGCCACCACACAGAGGCTCGCTAATGCAGGATTATGCAGGTGCCGACATGGAAGAGCCATGTAGCACAACTGCCCAGCAGCCCTCAAAACGAGGGATTCAGCACGTTGGGTCTCAGAGCCAGGGGAGAAAGTCACGACAGGCCGCGGTCCCCGTAGTGCATGCTCCACCTTTTGGCTCTCGGACTTCTTTAGCTTCCCGTTCCTTAGCACTGCCAGGCCCAAGCACGAAAGACTGGCCAAGCAGCTCCGTGCTACACCGAAGGCTTCAGAGGCATCCGTATGCTGTCCTGTTCTAAGGCTTCTTGTAGTCGTGCTTCGCGAAGCAGTTGAGGTAGCAGGGGGCCGGGCTATGTGTTTGCAACGTGCAAGAGGTTGTGGCAGCTGTAGCGAAGTCTGAAGAGAGTGAGCTGTGCCTGCCCCAGATCTCTCAGATCTCAGATCTCATTGTTGCGAAAGGGCACGGGCACCCTAAACCCTAAACCTTAAACCCTAAACCCTAAGCCCTAAGCCCTAAACCACAGTTTTTATGTGCCGCGAGTCAGGAAGCGGATGCCCGTGGGTGCCCTTGCCAGAGCTTTGACTTCGCTTGCCAGTGCCCCTTGGCCACCAGAGACCTGCTATTGCTACTAGCTGCTACTAGCTGGGTTTTGGGTTTAGGGTTCAGGGTTCAGGGTTTAGGGTTTAGGGTTTAGGGTTTTCGTGGCCCCAGCTGATTTGGTCAGAGTCTGGGTTCAAAAAAAGGGTTTAGGGTTTAGGGGCCCTAAACCCTGAACCCCAAACCCCAAGAGCGGAGCACAGGTCCCCGCGGCCGGGTCTCGTGACAGCCAAGTTGGGGCCACAGCAATCGGTCGGCGAGTCGACGCAGGCTCAATGCAGGCAAACTAGGGCCTTAGGGTTTAGGGATGTTTAGGGTTTAGGGTTATCGGTGGATCTTTTCATCCAAAGGGCCAAAGGGAATGCGCTTCAGAGCTTCACGGTTTGTTTTCACTGTTTGCAAGTCAGGACGACGGGCTTCACTGCGTTGTTACGCCCACGGGCCCTAGGATAGGATTTGTGAATTACTGGCACCTAGATGGACAAAGGCGCAATCGAGATCAGTCGCGAAGTGGTGTTGAACAGGAGCTCGCAGGATTCCATGTGTTGTTGGAACTGTGAGCTGGAGCCGTCCGAGTCTTGCGCAGCCGCATGGCCTAAGGGCGACGAAGCCACGGCTGCCCAGATCCGACTACTGGCAGCTTTGCCCTGTGCTCATGGCCGCCGCGAGGTTTGATTGCAATGTCGAGCCTGCAGGAAAATGTTGGACTTGATCTCTCCAAAAAAAAAGGGCCGTTGAGCTGCAGAAAGTGCCAAGGCGTGAAGTCAACAACAATGAGGAGGATATCGTGCTCATGCCCGCGTAGTATCAAAGTTGCTGATGCAGCGATGCTTTACATATCATAGACAGGACCTGACCACGGACGCATGGAAATCCTAAAGCCTTGCATCACCAAAGTCAAGAATCCTAGCACATAGAGACCACACAGCTTCTCTTCCGGCATTGACTGTGGAATTAACCTTAACCCAAAGTTTGGATAGGTTGGCCCCATGGCTTCATAAAGTCTCATTCAAGATTGCGGCCTGTAGTTCTGAACCCACATACTGTGAGGAGAACGTTGACATCCCTGCACCGGAACTCTTGCATTCCGCCGAGAAGGCGAAGCAGCTGGATTGCGACACATTTCGGCCGTGCCTCATGTTTGGCGGTCAGAGCACGGTATCCTACGTGATCATTCTGCGCCGACGCACGCAGGTGCTCGACCTGGGAGGCGGGCGCGCCCCCGAACTGACCGTTTCTGCCATGCATGGATGAGTTGCGCAGAGGTGATGACCCGGATGACACGGTCCTGGTGCAGCGCACCGCGGCCGGTCACCATGGTGCAGCATTGTACTGAATAATGAGATGGCACTGCGCAGTGCACAGCGCGTGATTGTGCCAGGGGCACGTTTAATTCAATCCCTAAACAGTCGAACCGCCGATCATGTCATTCGGAATTTTAGTCTCTGTGCGACACACTGTCCTCCTGCACACAAAGCCAGACGCAAGACATTCAAGATTGCCCTCAGCCCTAGCTTTCCTGGTATCGTTTGCAGGCTGCCAGGGTGCTTGCTGGCAAGGCACTCAAGGGCGCCGCGCAGCACCAAGGTGGAGCAGCCCTCGGTCTGCACTCCGCCCGGCTCGAGTTTTCAGAGACGGCACCATTGCTTGGAAGCTCTTTTGGACTTCAGAAGTCTACTTAGGTATCCCATAGAATCCCTCTGAGAATCACCAGAACCCACCTCAGGAACCCTACTTACTAAGTCACAAGAGCTTCGAAGCATACATTGGTCATGACCATGAAGCTAAGCAGGGCCTCGCGGTGCGACTTAAGGGTTTAGGGTTTAGGGTTTAGGCAAAAAGGGTTTATATTAGGGTTTAGGGGTTTGGCTTCTTTGATCGCCGTCAGATTCCTAGGACTTGAGGAAGCTGGCTTCACGCTTCCGGACGTGTCCAGGCCAAGATTGAGGGGTTCACATGGGGTTTCCGAAGTTTGGGGCACCTTGTTGGGGTTCTTGTTATAACTGGATCCTACGATTTGGGGGTCTAGCTTGGGGGTTCCTTATTCTCGTAACCTGCCCAGAAACACGAACAAGGTGCCTGTTATTAATATTTAGGGGACCCAAAACAATGGACCAGAATTTTGAGAACTGACCATAGATGATAATCATTGCATGATTGATATTTTAATGTATATATATATATGGTGAGGTCCCAAAAGCCTTGTTAGAATCTTTGAATCGAAAGGCACACGAACCATGATCTATATCAACTGTATGTCTTCAGTTAGCATTGTAGCAATCACCTGTGGGAAGAGCCATGGCTCAAGAATGATGGCCGTCCAGATAGCCAAACAGAGCAGGATCTGCTCAAGCAAAGACAAAGCATTGTTCCCAACCACCCGATTTCGAGCGGGGAAGGAGGGGTTGGGAACTAGGTGTTTGCGGGGCTTGGCGCTGGAAACCATGGTTCCCAACCTCCCTTTTTCGGGCCAGGGGGGTTGGGAATCAAATGGATTCATGCTTTCGGCATGCCCTGGGGCTGGAAAGTACCATGCCAACAACGTGTGGCGTTGGCGCGTTTTGGGTCTCGGGGTTGGAAGTCATGGTTTAGACCCTGCTGGCGCTAGTACGGCGCCCAGCAAAAGGTGCACGAACCTGGCCTTTCCAGACAGTCGGTCATGCGCCAGCGCATTTGCTAGAAAAACAGGGGTCTTAGATGCAAATATACTACGTGCTCATTTCTTGTACGGGAGGCTTTCTGTTATCTTGGACATGATGCGGCCCCCGCAACTACACGCATTCCGCGACACATGTTGGATGAGTAGCATTGTCAAAAACGACCACACATAGAAATATATAAATATATACACACATGTATATGTGTAATTGTGAAAATGTATATGGCCTTGTTTCAGGCTCTTGGCGCTCCCCGGCGCGGCTGGGCGCGACGTGCTTTTGCCGCGATCCAAGAGTGCACGCTTTTGCGGGGTCGTTCAAAGGACCTGGGACTCGAAAGCGCGTAGCTCTTCGGTGCAGCCTTGTCCACATGAGCGAGATGTACTTCTGTAGTGGCGCAGTGGCGCAGTCATATCCGCAGACTTTCCATTCCAGTTTCAGTCTTGCTCGACCTGTCTGCGTTGGCCTTGTCGCTCAGGGCGACATCATGCGTCAAGCTGCGCGGGCCTGAGTGGGCTGCGGCTGCTGTGGCCACGTGTTGATCACATGCTCGTTTGTGTGTTCAGAACGCCTGTCCTTTTCTTGCCTGCCGCTCCTCCTTCTTTGCCGCGCCTCTCCCTCCGTCTCTGTCCCCGTCTTCGTCTGTGTCGCTCTCGCTCTCGCTCTGTTTATGTCCATATTGCCGTCTATGTCTCTGTGCTACTCTTTTTCCCTTGCTTCCTCGTCCGGGCTTTCGGTCTGAGTGGGCCGGGTGTCTGGTCGTCGAGGCTTGCGGCTGGGAACCTTCAACAACAGCGTGATGCCGAGCTCCAAGAAATTGTCGGCGACGCTAGTATGGCCAAGCACTCACAGGCAACAGTCAGCGATTCTGATTACTGTGAGCTGCAGCAGCGTAGAATACTAGCACCCGGTCAGTGAGCGACAGGGGTTGGGAGGCATGCTCGAGCGAGATGATGTCAGGTTTTACGTGCTGCTGTCGCAAGGGGCAGCACAAACACCGCAGCAGCTGCGGGTACCGCGATCCTCAAGACGCTTTCTGGAGGAGGCCCTTGGGGCTTCATCCTCTTGTCCTGGAGATGCCTGTGGCATCCTGAAGCTACATTGCTGATTTCGGCCGGCTGGAGACATGATGGACATGGCCGGCTCAACTGTACGTAGACTAAGTCTACTGCCGGTCACCAGATGTGGAGAAGTTTGCTGAAGGTGGCCCTGCAGACCATGTTGCTGCCACCGATGATTGCGTTGAGACAGTGCGGAACTCAAATCCTTGTGTTCTCGACGTGCTTAAATTTAACACTGGCTGGGTTGTTCCTCCACGCGATTCCCTTGGCCAGTCTCCTACGCAGGTTCGAGAAGTGGCGCAGTCAGGTGTGAGGCCTGGAATGACTCGGAATGCATTGCTGGTGGAGCGTTCCACTTGGGGCTGGCAGGCTGCCTGCCGCTGCGGCCTTGCTCAGGCGCGGCCGAGGGCAACACGTGGCTTCCACCTCCAGCTTTTTGCCCCCACAGATACAAGCAGCAACAGCAACAAGAAGTAATGCGGATCATGACTATAGTGATGAGACGAGTCGCAAGAGCTGAGTTAAGCTCAGCACTTTGTACTTAGAGGCAATGAAGATGAGGCAAACAACTGCCGAGCACAGATTGTAGGCCTACGGGTGTAGGGCCGGCCCCCCGCAGGCGAATGGCGGCCACGGCCAAACCGGTGAAGCTTGTTCTGGGCTCAGTTCTGCATGTGCGGCTTTGGCGAGTTGTCAAGTTGTGATATCCAGGGAGCCCAATGTCTCAACATTATGTCCCAGTGCAGGGCTCCAGTAAGCGCAGTGAAACATGTGAAGCTGGCGCGCTCGAAGTCAAAAACCGCAGCCGTGATCCCCTTGACTTCAGGCTGAAGCTTTGCTTGCACTGGCGCAGAAAGCAGGACCCGGGCAGGCCGGGGGAGCTTAGGGTTTAGGGTTTACGTAGGCGGGCGAGGTCTCTTGGAAAAGGGTTTACGTAGGGTTTAGGGTTTAGGGTTTCTTTTTCCTGCGTCTTCATCCCAGATTCAATGCCTGCTGCCTTGACGTTGGAATCAGCGACGCCCCTTTTCGTCTGGCTTAGCTGCTTTGCTTCGGGCGCAGGCCGATGACCTGCAGGCTGTGGCCGAACTTCTTGCCAGCAAGGACTGCATGGTAAGCTCTTGTTCCTGTCTCCTGGTCAAAGGGTTTAGGGTTTAGGGTTCAGGGGTGGGTTCCTGGCGTGACTTTGCAAGCCAGTTGCAAAAAGGGTTAAGGGTTCAGGGTTTAGTTTAGGGAAGAACCAAAATGCAACTGAAGATGTTTGGTGTCATGCTCAGGATTCATTCAACGACTTCACACCAGAGCTTTTGCTGGAAGCAGCCCTGCTGCGCCGCGTCTGCATCCAGGTCATTAGCCGACTCACCGAGGGTGCGCTGGTCCAAGGTCGTCAAAGCACGACGCGCTTGAAGCGTTGGCGCGGGGAACCGTGCCGCTGGCATGCGTTTTCGGCCCCTAAACCCTTAATAAAAAAAAACCCTAAACTCTCTGCAGTTGCCCCGCGTAGCTTGCCAAACCCTGAACTCTAAACCCTAAACCCTAGACCTTATCAACCCTAAACCCGAAGCAGCCTGCGTGCCCGATGTGCATGAACCTGGCTTACAAGGCTGAAAGTGATATAATAATATTTCAGTATATACAATCATATAATAAAATATAGTGATACAGTATAATACAATAAAATAATATCATATAATACCGTACACATACTGGCTCAAAGCAAAGAGAAAGAGCTTGGCGTGAGCAGAGTGACAGCCAGGCTGCGGCTGCCGCCGGTGTTCTGGAGAAGTTGCACCTGGAAGAGGCCCATGTCCTAGGGTTTAGGGTTTAGGGTTTAGGGTTTAGGGTTTAGGGTTTAGGGTTACTTGGGAGTTTACGAACTAATAAGGGCCCTCATAGAAGACCCCCCAAACAGAACAGCATTCCCGGATAACAAGGACCCCAAGAAGGTACCCCTAATTTCGTAAACCCCCACTTGGGCGAGCTCAGAAGCTGAAAGTCAGAATATTCTGCGCCGGTCCAGAAACTACTGCCCGATGAGTCAGACAACAAAGTTCTGCGACGTGCGAACATGGTTCAGGAAAGAGCCATCCCTTGGGATAATCCCCAAAAAACTAGCAGCTCGAAATAGAAATCATAATAGGGGGTTGTAGAATCCCTATTAAGGACTCTTGCTATATATTTGTACGGGGGAACATCCCAAGCCATCCCACACCTGCGGGAATCGTTCTTCTGTTGTTCACTTCCGGTGTGGATGCTCAATAGCAAGTCAACGTTATGTCGCGATCGACTCCTTCGAAATTAGTCTCTGGGAATCGGTCTGTCCCTTGAGCTGTTGAGTCTGACTTTTCCACTTACACGGTGGTGCCCAAATTTGCGCCAGAGCCTTAGGGCATGAAGATGCATAGCGTCTTGGCCTTGACTTGGCCCTGTCTCGCGTGAACAGGCAGTAAGCCTCCGTATGTGTCCGTATGTGTCCGTATTTTCCAGTTTCCTGTCGTCAGATGTTTGGCATTACAAGTGCCGCAGTGGTGTTTACGACACACACTCTCTCGAGCGGTCACAGTCACCATTTCCTCAACAGAATCAAAACCGAGCAAGCTCTACCATGCTTGACGATGTAGTATTGGCGAATTACTTGGAGAGGCCCCCGGTATCTGAATCGGGGGGCCTCCATTCTTCTAGGGTACAATTTTGGGGGGTCTGTACTTTACAAGCAAGTGCTATACCCTAAACCCTAAACCTTAAACCCTAAACCCTATTTGGGGGTATATGTTGGGCAACCACTGGTCTGGGAAATGCAACCTTGCGAAGCGCGTCGGGCTCGAGGCAAAGCATGTGCTTGGCATTTTCTAGGCATCTTGAATTTTCCATGCTTAGAGTGCAGGGTTTATCAAGGGTTTAGGGTTCCATTGGGTAGGGTGTAGGTGTAGGGTTTATAGGTGTGTCTGTAGCACGTCATCTTCTTTGACGGTGTAGGGTGTATTTTGAGCGATCCAAGCCTTGCCAGATGCCGCGGAGGTGAAGTGTGAGGTGGGGTTTACGAAATAATCGGGGCCCCTAAACGCAGACCCCCCCTGAATAGTAGGATCCCTAGAAGCAGACCCCCCCTGAATAGTAGGATCCCTTTATCCTGAGGACCCCAAGAAGGTACCCCGAAATATCGTAAACCTTGAGGTGGCCCGGAGAAGTTCAACCCGGGGCTCATGGAGATCAACATCCTGCTGGGAAACTTGGTGGTGCTCTACTGTAACTTTAGCTCTTTAGCCTCTTTGGGTTTATTGGGTTTCTTAGTAAGGCAGCTAAAAGTTTAGTTTTTTTACTACCCTCCTAAGTGCAGCCAAGGAAAAGTAACCCCGAAGGAGCTGGGTGCGGGTGTGGATTACTTCAAGATCGTGCACAACGCCTACACCAGCCAGTACCTCCAGAATCTTGCTGTTTTGGTTCGCTGAGGGAATGGGGGAATAAGGTACCATATATCCGCTACATACCCCTTAAGGGACGATGTAGGGTACCTTATTCCCCAATTCCCTAGGAAGCAACAGCAAGGAATTTGGGGATCGAGCCCCTGGAGCAGCACCGCAAAGTCGTCGCCCGCAAGTGCGCGCTTGCGGACTGCCACATCGAGGCCACCTGGGCCGATGGCTCCGCAGTCGCGGACCACTTGCGCATCGTCCCTCCGGGTGCGCGGCTGCGAGGGCGCGGTTCTTGGGAGCGGAGCTTCGAGGGACTTGGCCTGGTGGGGCAGGAGGCATGTTCTGATCCGATGATCAGCGCGGTGCCACCAGACATGTCCGGAATCTATGAGAAGGCAAAGAAGGGAACTGGAAACTTCATGGCTCAGAAGAAATACACTCAGGAGGAACGCTTCCTGCTTGCGTTCTCGGAGATGAGCCTCCGAGACCAAGAGAACTCACGCGGCGCGAACTGCACCTTCACGCAGGACCCTTGGGGACCCAATGAACCCCAAAAATAGGGCCATATACCCTATACTACTCTGAACCCAATTTAGGTCATATGATCCATAAAACCCTTACTACTTTAATCCCAATTTAGGTAATATGAACCCTGAAACCCTTTTTTAAGGTTCGGTTCCTTTCAACCTTCAGGACCTTGAGCTGATGCAGAGCCACGCGCGTGGCGAGGAAGGTCCGGTGCATCGACGGGAGGTGCTCCGCCAGTGGGGCAACGAAGGTTTCCAAGAGCTAGAGTCACTGAAGAAGAAGCTTCGTAGTAGAGTAGGTAACCTTTGTAACTCTTTATTTGGGGTAGTAGAATCCCTATACAAAACCCCAAGGTCAACCCTTGAGTTCCCCTATGTTACTGGACAACTCAGGAAGTTCATCCTCCCCTTTGCTTGCAGTCGAGGCGAGAAGGGGTCTGGCATAGTCTCCTGGCAGTCGCCGGAGCTCTTGGCTGAGATCGAGGTGCCCGCAGAGTGGGTGGCAGAGCTGCGGAAGCCCTTGCGGGTATCGGTCGAGCAGCTACAGGTCGAGGTGACCGACTACGCGGAGAACGGCTTTCCGCTCGAGCTGCTCTCAACCCGCCGCGACCCGTTCTTCTTCGATGACGTGCGCCGGCTCCTGTGCTCGCCCGAGCTCGCACGCCTCATCGGCTTGGCCGCGCACCTCGTTTACTGGAACACCTTCGCACACCTCCACGCGCCTCAGCAGACGCTTCCAGAAGCCACTCGCCAGAGCCTGGTGCTGACCATGCAGGAAGCCTGGACTAAGCTGGAGGAGCTGGCTCGAAACAAGCTCAGAAAGGCTGATGCCCGCGCCCGCGAGTTCTTCGTGCCCGTTTGCCTGCTCTTCATCAAGTGGGGCATCGAGAAGGCACTCCTTATGCAGTACCACAAGTTCTTGCGCGACACGGACTATGGCGAAGATGCAACAACGCAGCTCGTGCACCACATCAACGTAGCCATCATGTGCCTCTTCGATCCGGACTGCTCTGCCGCCAATTTCGGCACGTTGGATAGCTCCTCGGAGGCCAGCCGACTCTGGAGGAAGCTGCACCTATATCCTATTTTGGAATTATTTGTTATTTTTGGTCATATAAAACCCAAGAGGATTTTGAAAATATTGTTTTTTTAGGGTTCTAAGGGGAGTATAGGCACATCAATCAGATGAAGCACGGCCTCACACCTGCCACTCGCACCATTGCGCGAGAGTTCCGGACTTCCCCTATGATGCTGCGGCTGATGCACGGGGATGGAAGCGGGCCGGCTGACGCGAAGACCAGGCGCCTGCTGCAGAACAGCAGCAGCGACAGCGTCCTTGCTGCTGTTGCGGGGCTCCCACCGATCCCTGACTCCAAGAAGCCGAACCGAGGCTCGGCGCCCCGGGCACCTCGACCAGCACGATCGCCTCAGCCGGGGCCACTGGATGCAGCCCGGAAGGCCGTGCTGTACAGCACGGCCTGCAGTCGGGTCGCCCATTTCGCCAAGACGTGAAGTGCGGAGACAAGGGCTGCAGTGCGCTGAAGCATACTGCAGCTCAGTATCACCCCTCTAGAGGTGTTGTCACTTTTGCCTCCATAGGAGACGTTGGTGCACAGCGTGACCCGAGAATGAAATCACAGTCCGAAGCGTCAAGCCGTGGGAACTCGCATCTGTAGTGCTTCGATGTCTATAATACAATTTAATACTATATAATATTATTAATATCATATCATGTCATATCATATATATATATATATATATATGGTACTGCTATGGCCTGTGGCCTGTAAGATACCCTGAAGCCCAAAGCATGTCGTCAATGGCGCCGAGGTGGTGAAGCTGCTGTTGGCCATTGCTCGCCGGCGCGGAGGGCTGCCAGCTGAGGCAATTCCCATGCAGGGTTGAGGGTTTAGGGTTTAGGGTTTAGGGTTTAGGGGTTAGGGGTTAGGGGTTGGGAGGTTTGAGTTTAGGCTGAAAATTGCATCCTGGGGTTGCGGGGGGTGGTGGGGTGGTGGGAAGGGGTGGTGAAGGAGGTGCATGGGGGGAGGAGCCATGTGGCACAATATCAATATGCTCGCATGCGAAACCTTGTTGTTTCCGGCAGGTCAAAGACACCTTGCGCGTGGCAGCACGGACCCCGACTGTTTGCAGACAAAAGTGCTTGGCGTCACAGTTCTGACATATCACCGTCATGCCCATGCATGAGATGAGTGCAAGCTTGTCCGGCGGCCATGCGTCATATACCATTGCCACCGCGAGGCTGAGAAGGTTTTCTTGCCGCAGTTGGGGCAACTTGGCACAGATCTTAGCTGAGCTTCATGCCTGCGCCATGACAAGTGCCGGCTATTGGCCGTTGTTTCAGCATGCGTTGGAGCATTGAGCACCAAGCTCAGACAAAGCCCCGAACTCGAACTCAAGAAGGCTCTGAAGACCTGGCGGGCCTCGTGCAGCACCCAGCGCTGAGTAGTCTCACTGTTGCAATACTGTTGGTGGAATCCTTCGGCAGACTCTTCTGCAACTGTTATGCAGAAAGGGCCTCTGCTTTCGGCGGGATAGGCTACAAAGAAGCTGGGTTTGCTGCAAGCCTCTATGCGCCATTGTGGTGCCTTCAGGTTTTGGCGACGCTGGGTCATGGCTGGAAGGACTTGCGCGACGCCCGAAGCTGAAACATGTCCCTCATTCACTGGTTGCGCTTTTGTCGGTTTCATGGGGCATTCTGTCACGGGCATTTCTTACCTGAACCCGTGCGACTGAAGGCAGTTGCAAAGGAGTTGTTGCGACGGCTGCCAGCTTTTCCCGCGAAGCAGCTGTTGGTAGCCTTCCTGACATGTCCGCAAACTGGACCGAAGAACATCTGCCACAAGTCTGAAAAGCCGGCCTGTTATCCAGCCAGCCAGGTCACGCCCGTTTTCTTGCAGGCCAGCAGTGTAGGGCGTCTTTCCTTTGAGATGCGCAAACCATGGCAAGCATGCTTAAGCACAGGGTGAGAGACGTCGGTCGTCGTTCAGCTCGGTTACTTCGGCTACAGCGTCGCATTCTGCCAATAGTTGTGGAAGGAGCCGACTGGTGTCGAATTGATTGCAAGCTGGCCAAAGGCCCGATCCATCGGACCCTGCGCCGTCAGCAGTGTGGATTTTCACGCGCACAGGTCCTCTCAAAGAGCTCCACACCAGCTTCATCCAGTCAGAAGACTTCTGCACAGGTCCACAGTGCGAAGTCCTGGTGAGAAGATTTCGATAGTAACAACCCAAAGGCAGATGCAGCCGACAATCGAGAAGGTGAAGGCCTCGCGCCAGATCAGCGGCGATCCTGGATCGGCAAGCATAGATCGATCAGTGTCTTCGGAATTTACGTGTGTAGCTATATATATAGACATACATACACATATACATAATTGTGTACATCTCTATCTATCTATCTATCTGTCTGTGCGTATGCAAGAGTGTGTTTGTTCGCGCGCGCGTGTGTGTGTGTGTGTGTGTGTGTGTGTGTGTGTGTGTGTGTGTGTGTGTGTGTGTGTGTGTGTGTGTGTGTGTGTGTGTGTGTGTGTGTGTGTGTGTGTGCGTGTGCGTGTGCGCGCATGCATGTGTATACTTATGTCAGCGTGTATGTATATGTGTTTTTGTATTTGTTTATTATTATTAATCTCTCTCTCTCTATCTCTGTCTCTCTCTCTCTGTGTTTTGTACATGTGACGCACATGCCCTTGAAGCGTCGCTCCATGACTGCATAACTAAGGCTGGTCAAGCTCGCCGGGCTAGCCGAAAACCAGGAACCTGCTGTTCGGCGGAGGTTGTTGTAGGTTAGGATCTTTGATGGGCATCTTGCGCATATAATATTATACATATATATATGTATATACATACATATAATATGCGTACATATATGCATATACGCATGTATATGTGTGTAAATAAATTTCAGTATGTTTGTATCTGATGGTATCTGTACAATGAAACCCTTTTTACAGGGCCCCCGAGACAAGCCATCTTTCCTCAATGAGTGGATGCGTTGCATCAGCAGGCAGCGGTCGCCGCAGCACCCAAGCAGTGGGAAACACTCCTGGAGGACAGAGTCTGGGCGGCACCGGCACATGTGAAGAGAAGAGAAGCAGGCAAAGAGAAGAATACTAGCAAGTGCTAGTGAAGAACCTCTGGAGACGGAAAGAGCTAGATCAGTTGCTGTTTTGCAGACCGGTGCATACTGATACTTGTGGACTGGGGAGGATGTTGCAACACGATTGCTGCCTGAGGCCAGGCAAGGCTTGCAGGAATGCTATGTATACTGCGGTGTCTGAGACGTAGACTTCGTTTGCGCTACCAGCTGGGCAGGTCGGTCAATTGTCTGCTGCCGGTAGGGCCATGATGTCTTCACAGCTCAAGGGCAAGATTGGCGGCGTCCACAGTGACAGAGAGCACAACATGCGCAAACGATGCCTTCCCACTGCCACGGTTGAACAAGGCTTGGGCAATAGCTCCAAGCACGCCGCTTTGCAGAAGGCTTTGGCTGTGGGTGTGTGGGGAGCCAAGTCGGCCTGACGCAACAATCGCAGGTGCATGTTCTGTGTAAACACGTACCTGTGAGAAATTCAGGTTGCCAGCGCATGCGGCTCAGATTTTTGGATGTGTACGAGGTCTCCAAGCCATTCCCCACCTGTCCTGAGGACTGCAGCAGAAGGCTCCAAGTCCAAGAAGCGCACAGCAGCTCCGGCAGGGCCAGATGGTAGACTGAGCAGCTCGGGCGCTATTTAGGGTTTAGGGTCTAGGGTCTGGGGTTTAGGGTTTAGGGATGCTTGCTTTGACTGTGCTACTAGTTTCGTCATGCATCTCTGTGGTCAGCATGCCGCTTGTGAACCAATGCTTGCGCATCAAAGGCAAGAAGCAGCGCGGCAAGCAAACTCGGGCGAAGAAGTCGTGAAAAGTCCGAGCGGCACTAGGCATTCTGATTGCGAGATGTTTCTTCGGGCGTCAGCTTCAGTTGCCGAGAGCAGGTGGGAACAGCATGAAACACATTGAAACACCATGCAGGCACTCTTGGCCCGACTTTTCGGGAAGAAGGTCCATTGGTTCCTATGTCAGATCTTGAAGAAGAAAAAACCTGGTTCTTCATGGATGATATTCTACACGCGCCGAGGACAATGAAGACAGTCCCATACGATCAAGACATATTTCACCAATCCATTCAAATCATACCCAAATAACGAGAGATGATTCCCATTCTTGCCTGGCCCTGTTCTTGTGCCCGGCGGCACTTTGCGAAGACTTATCTTGGGTAACGTTGCAACAAGAGAAGGAATAGCCCTGATCTAGGATAGTGGGCATGATTATTCTGGACAATTCGGCATTTCTATCTTTAAATTTCTGGAGAAATCAATCGGTAAAATGCTTCGAAACATTTTCGAAGGGAATGGATGAAGCTTCTATTCAAAGTATAGGGGGTGTTTTTTGTTTGGTTTGTATCATCATATAGCATAGATGATATACACGATTTTTTCATTTCGATAGTATACGAAACTAGAAAACATAATGTATATATAATTTGGAATATCCCCTTAAAAGGCTACGGGCTCGGCCGCGCTTTTCGCTCTGCGGCCGCCTTGTCGTATGCTCGGCCTCTTCTTCCGTTCTTTTTGGCTGCTTGCGGGGATCTTACAGGGGGATCCAGAACATTCCCGGGAATTTTCTGGAAAATTTGGCAATTCCCCGGAGCCGACAATTCCCGGGAATTTTCGAGATCCCCCGGATTCAGGGTTTAAGAGTTTTACGGTTTCGGGTTTTGGAGTTTAGGGGTTTAGGATGTAGGCTTCATGTTCATCTCCATGTCTTTTGGCAGATCCCCGGCCAGCTTCGGCTCACTTTTTACTTTCATGTCCTTGGGCAGCCAGGAACTATATCCCCCTTGGGAATTATTTTTTATATTTTTGTTTATATAAAACCCAAGAGGAGATTAAAAACATTCTGTTTATTAGAAGGTTCTAAGGGGAGTACACACACCATCGTATTATTCTGAGCTGTGTGCAGGTACCGACACACCGCATCATCGCTCAAAGGCCAGCGATCTCGCGCCACATGCTCTGTTTCTGCCAAGTCGAGATGATTTCATTTCTCAATGATTTATATCAAGATTCGGAGCCTACGGTAACAATCCACTTATGATGTGTATATATATATACACTGTTTATCTCATTTTGATATCGTTCTGCTCCAAGGTCCATACATTCCCTTAATTCGAGATAGCCATCGATTTGTTTTCCTATGAGAGTACATTCGCCTTTGATTCCATTAAGTTTCTTCGAGGCTCCCGAATAGAAAATTCGTAAGGCGAAAACCTTTTTCATCCTTCGTGGGCGTAGAAATCCCCCACTTTTATCCGTAGCTTGGTGGCTCTTTCTGGTCTACTCTTATGTATATCGTACCCCCGGGTCTTGGTGGCTCTGTACTCCCGGGTCTTGGTGGCTCTTTCTGGCCCACTCGTATCCGTAGCCAATCGTACTCCCGGGTCTTGATGGCTGTTTCTTTCTGGCCCACTCTTATCCGTAGCCAATCGCACTGTCGGGTCTTGGTGGCTCTTTCTGGCCCACTCTTATCCGTAATAAATCGTACTCCCGGGTCTTGGTGGCTCTTTCTGGCCCGCTCTTATCCGTAACAAATCGTACTCCCGGGTCTTGGTGGCTCTTTCTGGCCCACTCTTTTCCAAAACAAAGCGTATTCTCGGGTCTTGGTGGCTCTTTCTGGCCCAGTCTTCTCCATAATAAATCGTATTCTCGGGTCTTGGTGGCTCTTTCTGGCCTACTCTTATCCATGACAAATCGTATTGTCGGGTCTTGATGGGTCTTTCTGGCCCATTCTTATCTGTAACATATCGTACTCCCGGGTCTTGGTGGCTCTTTCTGACCCACTCTTATCCGTAACAACTCGTACTATTTTGGGTCCCTTTTTGGGGCGGCACCTACAATTTAGAGCCCACGAGAAGACCGGCCCCGCTCGTAGAAGCTACCCAAATTCTACTCTTCAGTGGGTGGGCTTCTTCGACTCAAAGTGTACTTGCAACTTTAAACTCACAGGGTTTAGGGTTTAGGGTTTAGGGTTTAGGGTTAATCCGAGCTCCTGTTTAATTGGTGGGGGGGCCCCCCCCCCCCCCCACAATAAGGAAGGCAGGGTTCCGCAATAGTTGGACCATGGCCCCGTCAGCTTCCAGAAAACCGAAGCCCCGGCTTCCTTAAAGCTTTTCCTTTTAAGCTTTAAGGCTTCTTTAAAGACTACAGGACCGGGGCTCCCCACGGGCCAGGGCCTCCCATAATTCTGGCCCCATTCTATGAATGTGACTCCGCCTTTCCCGGCCAGAGCCCGTAAGGGGTAGCTCAGGAAAGAATGAAAATTTCTGTCCTCCAGTAAGCAATCACATAAGAAATCCTTGCTTTCTGAAGGCCCTCAGCTTCCAGAAAAACCGAAGCCCCGGCTTAGCAGATGTTTCACATCGACCCAAACGTCCCTGCAGAAGAAAAAAAGCTTTCCGAAAGGCAGAGTTTCAAAATTTGACAACCCCCCCCCAAAAAAATTTCTTTAAATGTGGAGGGTTTGGCCCATACGAAATCCATCGTAATGGAAAGTAGTCTTCCGGCGGGAATCCGGGCAAAAAAAATTTCTTTAAATATGGGGGGTTAAATTAAACAGGAGCTCGGATTACCTCCAAAGCCGCCATGGTCGCCGTTTCCATGATGGGCTGCCAGCGCATCTGGCTCTAATCGGTTTTTCTGGCCACTGCAGCCAGGGAGGCGGCGGGGAAGCACCTGCCGAACAGGGCTTTGGGGTGTTGGGCTTCTGTCAGCATCATGGTCTCAGAGGGTTGAGATCGTATGTCGTTAACCCGAAGCCCTAAACCTTAAAGCCCCAAACTAGGCGTTTCTTAGATGGCTTCACGATTTAGATGTTCCAGTGTTAGCAAATCAGCGGAGCGTTTCTGAAGGCAGAGCCTCTTCAAGCCCGAACCGGCCTAACCCTGCACCAGCCAGGCTTGTGGTGCCTCGAAGGGACCGGGCTGTTGCAGGGCTGGCAACCTACTGAAACACCTCCAAGCCCCAAGCCCCTGGCCCAAAAACCCCAAACCCCAAACCTTGTGGCGCAGTGTCATGTTTCACGCTGGCGCCCGTTATTCGCTCTTCGGGAAAAGACCAAATTGCAGATCGTGGAACCATGATGAACCATGTTGCCACGAAAACTGGGCTCTACCTCAGACATCTCAGGGCGGAAGATCTAAGGCTTGGGTAATCTCAAACAGAAACCTGAATTGGGTATGGTTTACGCATGTTTCCGAGTTTACACACACAAAGATAAAGCAGCAGGCGGCTCAGAATATACCCATCAAACAATGGGTCTGCCGCTCCTCTAGGTAGCTGCGGCTGGAACTTCGCGAAAGAGATTTAGCCCAAGAAGAGTCATCTGTTCGGGTCACCCAGATTAAATGGTCCATCCAAATTCGCTGATTTCTTCATGAATGGACCGATTTTCGATTTCGGATGTTCCGCTCCAATCCCTTGTGGTTTGGTGGTTTGCATGACAAAATCCGCTTCGATGAAGGTCCGCTGCTCTTCCGCTGCTCTCGAAAGGTCGGATGCAGAAAGTCAAGCGCTTGAAAATCAAGATGCCAGATCAAAAGATGACATAACTTGATTACGCAATTTTCTTTCATCTTCGATTATGCAAGGGAAGGACACAACAAGATTACATCATCAGATGACATCAGCATGTATGAAGATAGGCCAGTCATAGACCTTTCCACACCTGCATCAGACTTGAGTGGCCATGCCCCGTGAGTCTGATGAATTTTCCCCTGAGATGCATGTGCCCGCAGAGAGAGAGGCTGTCGAGGCTCGGATCTCAAGTCCTTCAAGGAAAGAAGATGGCGAAGATGACAAAGGTGAAGAAGATGAAAAAGAACCCCGAGCAGGGTTGAGCGTTGAGCGAAAGTTGTCACAAAAGTTACGAGAGTCCAGTGGGGGCAGATGCAGCGAGATCAATCAGGAGCGATTGATGACTCGACTCGCCAATCGCTTGGCAGCGATGGCACTGACTGATGAGAAGTATCTTCGAGCAACACCGGCAAGCCGGGTCATAGAGCGTGCCGGCCGTGCACTGAGACCGGGCACTCATGTTTGCTTTGAGCACAGCCGACAGGTGAAAGAGATCAGCAAATTCCTCTCTCATAGTTGGCAGTCGTCACCATTGTGGAAGTTAGTGACCTTGCAGATGTTCTACAACTGGAAAGTTGCTGCGCTGGCCAGCAACCTGCTTGCGCTTCTGGCGATGATCATGTCTTCCTATGGCTTTTTGCCGCCCATGTATGAGAGAACGCCGCGATTTGGAGAACCAATGATGGCAGGAGTGTGGGCAACATCTATAGGGATGTTGAGCTTTGTGTTGGTTTGGGCCTTTCGACCTCCAAGAGACATGATTTTCTTGGATCGAATCTGCATCAACCAGGCAGATGCTAAACAAAGGGGCGAAGGGCTGGTGAATCTGGGAGCCTGCCTAAGGTGCTCCAAGAATTTGTTGGTGATTTGGGACGAGACGTACTGCCGGAGGCTTTGGTGTTTGTTTGAAATCGCTGCGTACTTGAAGACGCACGAGGACAGCACCCTGCTGGTCCAACCATTAATCCTCACACAATTTGTTGTCAGCCTCTTCGTCCTGAACTTCGTGCTGTGGGGCTTGAATATGGTGATGGTGTATGACAGTGTCTTCACAATTCCTCTCTATGTTCTCGGAACAAGCGCTTATGGCTGGCTGATCGCGCGCAATGTGCTCCAATACTCCAAGAGCTTTGATTCAATCAACAGTCAGTTGCAGAACATTGAATTTGAGAAGGCCGAGTGCTACTGCTGCTCCGTGGATCACACGGGCCCACAAGGCCAAAGCTTTCCGTGTGACCGCTTTTGCATTCGCAGATGTGTGCAGCTTTGGTTTGGCTCTGTCGAGGAGTTTGAGAAGTCAGTTCAGACTCGGGTCAAGGATGTCTTGAGCCGTCAGTTTAGCGACCGAATCTGTCCTTACCCCTTGCTGATCATAACCATGCTGCCGTTTCTGTGGATACAGTTGGACTACGCAGCAGATTGGTTTGCGCAGGGAGACAATTCTGCAGGTGTGGCTACGATGATTTTCGGTGTGGTCCTTCCGGTGGTAAATCATCCCATATTGATTGCGCCAGTTCTTCGTGTTGTGCGGAGCTTGCCTCAATCCTGTCCGCACATTCTTCAACAGATTCTGGGAAGTGCTGTGTTCGTGGTCATTAGCCTCACGACACAGGCTGCATATCAGCTTTCCATTGACTCTTTTGGACTTCTTCTTGGCATTCTGATCTTTTGTGTATCCTTGTTAATTCCGAACGCACTACTTTGGAGGTGTGCCATGAGACTCTATTGACGCCAGCGCATCTCGATACAGTTGCTAGGTACTGCTAAGTGTCGAGAACATGTCGAGCAACATGTCCATCGTGAAACGATGAAGACAAGTCTTAGATATTCTTCAAGTATGCAGCATGCTGCACTGGGCGGGTGCAACCATGAAGTGCAGACAAAAAGGGCCAAAGGACGTGCTTCAAACTGTTTCAGGTGCTTTGTTTTTTGAATCGCTGAGTTGCTTGAACTGTACTTCCCAGGTGAACGTTTCAGGATACAACGTTTCAGTACAGAATATTTATTTCAGTTGGATAGACAAATTGTCGAGACATGCATCTATGGACATGTTGCTGGATGATGTTTGAACCTTCTTGGATCTAAAGATCCACGTCTCTCTCTCTCTCTCTCCTGTTTTGCACATGTGACGCACATGCCCTTTAAGCGTCGCTCCATGACTGCATAACTAAGGCTGGTCAAGCTCGCCGGGCTAGCCGAAAACCAGGAACCTGCTGTTCGGCGGAGGTTGTTGTAGGTTAGGATCTTTGACGCATATAATATTATATATGTGTATATATATATATATGCATACATACATATAATATGCGTACATATATGCATATACGCATATATATATATGTGTTTAAATATATTTCAGTATGTTTCTATCTGATGGTATCTGTACAATGAAACCCTTTTTACAGGGCCCCCGAGACAAGCCATCTTTCCTCAATGAGTGGATGCGCTGCATCAGCAGGCAGCGGTCGCCGCAGCACCCAAGCATTGGGAAACACTCCTGGAGGACAGAGTCCGGGCGGCACCGGCACATGTGAAGAGAAGAGAATCAGGCAAAGAGAAGAATACTACCACTAGCAAGTGCAAGTGAAGAACCTCTGGGGCCGGAAAGGGCTAGATCAGTTGCTGTTTTGCAGAGCGATGCATACTGATACTTGTGGACTCGGGAGGATGTTGCAACACGATTGCTGCCTGAGGCCAGGCAAGGCTTGCAGGAATGATATATACTGCGGTGTCTGAGACGTAGACTTCGTTTGCGCTACCAGCTGGGCAGGTCGGTCAATTGTCTGCTGCCGGTAGGGCCATGATGTCTTCACAGCTCAAGGGCAAGATTGGCGGCGTCCACAGTGACAGAGAGCACAACATGCGCAAACGATGCCTTCCCACTGCCACGGTTGAACAAGGCTTGGGCAATAGCTCCAAGCACGCCGCTTTGCAGAAGGCTTTGGCTGTGGGTGTGTGGGGAGCCAAGTCGGCCTGACGCAACAATCGCAGGTGCATGTTCTGTGTAAACACGTACCTGTGAGAAATTCAGGTTGCCAGCGCATGCGGCTCAGATTTTTGGATGTGTACGAGGTCTCCAAGCCATTCCCCACCTGTCCTGAGGACTGCAGCAGAAGGCTCCAAGTCCAAGAAGCGCACAGCAGCTCCGGCAGGGCCAGATGGTAGACTGAGCAGCTCGGGCGCTATTTAGGGTTTAGGGTCTAGGGTCTGGGGTTTAGGGTTTAGGGATGCTTGCTTTGACTGTGCTACTAGTTTCGTCATGCATCTCTGTGGTCAGCATGCCGCTTGTGAACCAATGCTTGCGCATCAAAGGCAAGAAGCAGCGCGGCAAGCAAACTCGGGCGAAGAAGTCGTGAAAAGTCCGAGCGGCACTAGGCATTCTGATTGCGAGATGTTTCTTCGGGCGTCGGCTTATCAGTTGCCGAGAGCAGGTGGGAACAGCATGAAACACATTGAAACACCGTGCAGGCACTCTTGGCCCGACTTTTCGGGAAGAAGGTCCATTGGTTCCTCTTTTTCAGATCTTGAAGAAGAACAAAACCTGGTTCTTCATGGATGATATTCTACACGCGCCGAGGACAATGAAGACAGTCCCATATTATCAAGACATATTTCACCAATCCATTCAAATCATACCCAAATAACGAGAGATGATTCCTGGCCCTGTTCTTGTGCCCGACGCTGAGCTGCGCGACTGGGCCCGCATCTTTACCAGGACAGCACCAGCTGAGCCACAGCCTGACATACATACATTCATGGGCAGCCAGTGGAGGTTGCGCTGACGCCTCAATCCAGCTTGTTCAAAACCTTTTGGGGGTATCAGGTGGTTAGATCATTTTTCAAGTCTGACTCTTTCAGGTGGAGACTGGAGAGTTTGGGGGTGGGGGGGGGAAGCAGCAAATCGAGACACCCCCCCCCCCCCCCAAGTTTCCTTATCGAGCCGAAACACCAGGTGGCCACAAGGATATGCGAGGATTCCGGAACGTCATGTGATGTGCACGGACACAAACTGCTTTCGAGGGGCGACCATGGCTGGATCAGCGGTGCTGGCTTAGGCGATGAATGATATAATGATATAATGATATAATGATATATTCGTCGTGTTGTCTTGTACAGCACTACATATAATGAGCTCTCGCATGTTCTGTGAGATGCAAGATTCTTGCCGTAGCTCGCGGTCTCGGTTCTTCGGCACCGCGTCGCTGCCTTTCCAACTGGGAAGTCACAGAGATTCACAGAACCCAGCCCCTCCAGACTAACTTTGACTCAGATGCTCCAAGCTTGTTGCATTTTGCTGGACTCGTTTAACCTGAGGGCATTCCTGAATAGTTACTAGGTATTCCGTTGGGGTATTTCTTATTTTCCCTGATTTTATGATCTTTAAGAGGATCATATTGAGGAATATTGTTGAGAGGGGTTGACAAGGACCATCCTAGGGCCTAGGTAAAGATACAAGTGTGATGCGCCCGGCGTCACAGCAGCTCGCTGACTGCCGGTGGCCACCACAAGGCGTTTTTTTTTTTATTTTTTTTTCCGGGGGGGGGGGGGGGGGGGGGGGGGGGGGGGGGGGGGGGGGGGGGGGGGGGGGGGGGATCCTTCTGCAGGCTTTTCAGAGGGGTCACACTTCACTTCGTTCCCCCCCCCCCCCCCCCAAAGCTTTTGAACCCAAGTCGCAGGGCGTGGTAGTCACTGGCAGGAATCCCTGGCAGTCTTTGAGTTCTTGGAAGGTTTTACTGAAGTTCTAGTGCTCTTTGGAATGGCAAAGCGGGACTCGCACCAGCTCGCTGTACACACGCTCACACGCTCACTCAGACACACAGGTTAAGGAGTTTGGGAGCCCTCCGGCTCGGACTTTGTGCAGGCTTGTGTGAATTAACTTAGTCTTATTTAGCGCCCAATGTTGAGAGCCTTGCCGTCTCTTCTGGCCAGGGCTTCTGTCTGCAGCACGGACGTCATGGCCGCCTCGAGACGGCATTGATTGGAGTAACTGAGTAACGCAGAGTGGGATTTCAAGTCAGAAAGAAGGCAGCGAAGTGTGTGTTGACCCGCAGGGGGTCAGGGCCTTGGAGGGCTGTCAGGATGCCGTGGAAACCCTAAACCCTAAACCCTAAACCCTAAAGCCATGCAAGCCCAAGCCGATGCATCAAGTCGACCTTGGACCTAAGTCTGCACTGGAATGAAATTGAGACAGCCCCTCATTCTACATTGGCCACATCCCCCAAGCTCTGTGGTGGACCGTCACCCACCCATAGACCTGATCCTAGCATATCCTAGCGTCTGGCATAATTACTATAAAGACCGCAAGTGTTGCTTTCGGGCCCCGGTGGAGGTGACTGGAGAACAGAAGAAGTGCTTGCTGGAGCTGGGCGTCGACCTCTCGGCCGAGGAACGGTACGGACGAACGCCAGCACATTCTGCTGCGCGACACGGACATGCGGAGGCGCTTCAGATGCTGAAGCAGCTCGGCGCTGACCTCTCGGCCGTGGACTGGGATGGGCGAAGGCCAGCACATGAGGCTGCGAGCAACGGACGTGCGCAAGTGCTCTGCGTGCTAAAGGAGTGGGGCGCCGACCTCTCGGCCCCGAATTGGTGGGGTGACACACCGGCACATGAGGCGGCGCAACATGGACATGTGGAGGCACTGCACATGCTCAAGAATCTGGGCGCCGACCTTTCGGCCAAGAACGACAGGGGCGACACGCCAGCACAGCTGGCAGCACTATGTGGACAAGAGGAGGCACTGCGCACGTTGAAGGAGTTGGGTGCCGACCTCACGGAGGCACACGAATCAGTGTTGCAAGGCAACACGGAGGGACTGCGTATGCTCAAGAAGCTGGATGTTGCAGTCTCGTCATTAGCACGTGCTGCCGCATCACAAGGACACGTAGAGGCACTGCACACGCTACGCCAGCTGGGGGTCGACCTTTCTGCCAAAGGTGAGGAGGGTCGAACGCCAGCACATGATGCAGCAAGCAATGAACATCTCGAGGTGCTCCGCGCTCTGCACGCACTTGGTGCTGACCTCTCGACCAAGGATGAGTGTGGCAAAGCACCAGCGCATTATGCCGCGCGACATGGACAAGCAGAGGCGCTTCGCGTGCTGAAGCAGCTGGGTGCCGACCTCTCGGCTCAAAGTTCCTATTTTGGTATCTCGCCAGCACATGAAGCGGCAACATATGGACATGTGGATGCGCTCCGCGTTCTCAAGAATCTGGATGCCGACCTCTCGGCCAAGGATCGAAAGGGCGACACGCCCGCACAGCTGGCAGCACTACATGGACAAGAGGAGGCACTGGGCGTTTTGAAGGAGTTGGGTGCCGACCTCACGCCGGCGCACGAAGCCGTGTTGCAAGGACATCTGGCCGGGCTCCGCATGCTTCAAGGGCTGGGCTTCAATCCGGGTTGTGACCGGTACAAAGTCTGCGACGATGACAGGTACATGTACTTGATGTTGAAAGAGGAGATGGGCGCCGACCTCACACAAGCACAAAAAAACGCGCACGTTGAAGCCGTATTGCGAAGTCGTCGCGAGGGCGGGGAGTTTCAGGAGGATTTCCTCCGTCCGTGGAGTGTTCAGGACCAGGGCAGGTGCATGATGTTTAACGATGCTGCCGTATATGCTGCAACAACAGGAGGACACGCGGACACGCTGCGTGCGTTGCACGAGCTTGGGGTCAACGTTTTGTACCCATGCCACTCATGCCACAGCTCTGTACACCTCGCAGCACGCAGTGGACAAGTTGAGGTTATCCGCGTGCTGCATGAGCTGGGTGGCGACCTTTGGGCCATGGATGGTCGGAGAGCATCCACACCAGCATCGTTGGCAGCAGAGTATGGCCAAGCAGAGGTACTTCGTGTGTTGCACGAGCTGGGCGTCGACCTGAAGGAGCGAGACTATGGACTTAGAATCAAAGCCGTGGTAGCAAAAGCCCATGGTGCAGCGCGCAAGGGACATGCCGAGGTGCTCTGCGTGCTGAAGGAGTGTGGCGACGACCTCTCGGCCCCGGATTGGCGGGGTGACACGCCAGCACATGCAGCAGCGCAACATGGACAGGTGGAGACGCTGCGCATGCTCAGGAAGCTGGGAGCTGACCTTTCGGCCAAGAATTTTCTGGGCGACACACCAGCACAGACTGCTGCGATACGTGGACAAGAGGAGGCACTCCGCGTGTTGAAGGAGCTGGGCGCTGACCTCACACAGGCACATGAAGCCGTGTTGCAAGGACACATGACAGGACTCCGTATGCTCAAGGAGGTGGACATTGTGTTCAGTAGCCCAGTAGCAGTAGCACTTGTAGTAGCCTCACGAGGAAGCGCAGAGGCGCTCCACACACTACACAGGCTGGGTGTCCGGCTTTCAGCTTTTCTAGAGGATGGTCGAACGCCAGCACATGAGGCGGCACGACATGGACATGTGGAGGCACTGCGCATGCTCAAGAATCTGGGTGCCGACCTTTCGGCCAAGAACGACAAGGGCGACACGCCAGCACAGCTGGCAGCACTATGTGGACAAGAGGAGGCACTGCGCACGTTGAAGGAGTTGGGTGCCGACCTCACGCAGGCACACGCAGCAGTACTGCAAGGACACGCGGACTCCGTGCGCTCAAGCAGCTACATGCAGACGTTTCGGCGGCAGAAGAGAACGAGCGAGATCCAGAAATCTTCGGCCTTGAAATTGACATACGCTCGGCACTAGCATTTGAAGCAGCTTTTCAAGGGGACGCGGAGGCGCTCCGCGTTTTGCACAGGCTGGGGGTCGACCTCTCTGCCTGTAAATCCGAGGACGGTCGAAAGCTAGCACATGTTGCAGCACGCAATGGGCGCACAGAGGTGCTTCGGGCGCTGCACGCGCTGGGCCTCGACCTCTCCACCAGGGATGGGCGTGGCAACACGCCAGCACAGTACGCAGCACGAGCCTCGCAAGATGAGGTGCTGTTCACGCTGAGAAAACTGGGGGCTGCTGGAGACTTGTCGGGCCAGGCAGTCGGGGTGGCTCTGCTGAGTGGCCGGACTGCATGGATCCCTGTGGACGATAGTGACTTCTGCAACTTCAATCGTGTGAAGATTCGTGCGGAGTGGCAGCTGGGAGTTCACATTGAGAGGCTGGTAGCCCCCGATGGGAGGTTCCTGGCCGAGTGGCAGACTCTTGCGGCTTCGGGCTTGCCATGGAAAGAGCAAGAGGTGGTGCTGATGGCCAGCGTCCAGGTGCAGAGCTGAGCTTCAGAGGTCATCAAACTCACCTTCAGTCAGGCGCTGCCGTTCAGTTTCGATTGTGTATATCCTTCTCCTTCGAGCCAGGTGCCCCCTCATCGGCACGATGCAACGGATGAGAGCGCTCATGAGGCCGGCTGTAGCTGTCGGAGTCGTCCTGAGTCAACAGAATTCCACGTATTCGATGTCTGGTTCATGGCACTGCACTTAGCACAGTACCGCAGACGCTGCGTGTACAGATTCGTCAAACACAGTTCGCCGCAAAGCATGGGACCATGACGCAGCAGAAGAAATGCGAAGAGCCTTCTATTTTTTCGCACCTTATGCTTAGTTGTAAACGCTGCGCGTCGACTCGGCTCGCTTGACGGAGGGGTTGGTGGGTCCCTGGGCTCTCCGGGCCTCACAAAGAGTGCCGAGGCTACTTACATATCCCTGATGTTCTCCATGCCAAGAGCGGCAGCTTGTCTTTTGCGTAGCGTGGAGGAGGACTTCACCCAAGTTGCGGCGGCCACTTAGTCTTTCTGCACGAAAGTTTTTCTAGTCCTACCTAAAGCACAACTTTCACCTGTCAAACCGCCTGTGATCATTTGCTGGGTTGGTTTGCAGATAAATCTGCGGAAAACGCATGCAAATAGCGCGTCTGACGTCAGCACCCTTAAAAAGGCACCTCAGGTTTCAACATGCCTGTGATTGTGTCATTGTTTCATTGTGTCATTGCTTCGACGTCAACCTGCTCCACGAAGGTAGTTAAGACGCCGCATTGGCGGCCAGCGAATTGCCAGCGCTACAAATTGATGGCCTGAAGGCCTCAACCAAGTACTACAGATGCCGTGGCCCACAGTGTGTCGAACAGATTGGACTTCGTAGCCATAAGCCGGCGCAGCCCTCGTCAAAAAAGGAAAGGGATGCACCCAAACTTGCCACGCGCCCCATCCAACCCGGGTCCCTTGGTAATTCAGCCAGCCACCACGAAAGCCAACCCAAAGAAGGCGAAGCAGAAGAAAACTGCCTAAAACCGGGCTCCACCAGATGATCCCTGGCCATCCAGCGTAGACACACACACACACACAAGCACAATGGAGAAGCGCAAACTGTGAGAAACCTGGCAGAGCTGCGAAAGCGTCCATCCCAATTACAGAATGCACGGAGCAAGACATAGCCAGCCCGTCAAGCAGCACGACCCGTGGACGAGATCAAACCAAGCCATGCCGATTCCAGCGCCACGCAGGCTAAGGGCCCGTGAAACCAAAGTTGCCCCCGGAAACAGCATGTGCCTGTCGGCGCTGGCAAGGTCATCCATCGTCCCATAGAGTCGCGCCGTCCGTGAGAGCTGCCTCCCAAGCCATGGACCGAAGGCCCCGCGTGAAACGCGTCCAGCACCCAAGTTTAACCCGGGCAGGGCGGGCCCGGGCCCAGTGAAAAACCAGGTGAATTTCTGCACCACTGCACCAGGCTGCAGCAGCGCTCCCCTCCCCGAGGGTACATGCCTGTGACCTCCGACACAGGTGTCGCGTTCCCAAACGATCCAAAGGGTCGGGGGGCCCAGCGCGCGAAAACTCGGCTCTCCAGTCAAACGAAAACTCGGCTGTCCAGTCAACAGCCTCCAGATTTAACTCATGTACTGCTGGATGTTGTGGGGGGGAAGTTGTGTGTAATCTGGGGCAAGCTTAGATCGAGCTAGAACGATATACGGGAGGACAGTGTAGCTTCAGTCCAGGATGCCGACTGGCAGGAATGCACACAGCCATGTCATGGGTGTCGGTCTAAGCCCTAAACACTAAACCCTAAACCCTAAACCCTAAACCCTAAACCCTAAACCGTCATGTCCGCGCACGTCAGATGTTCCTTTGGCGTGGAGGCGGTAGCAGCCGGTGCCACGCCAGTGACACCAGAAGCATTCTTTCAGGAGGAGAAAGACAGGACTCGTTCTCATGCATTCAATCAAAGCACTCAGGTGTAGCTCTTGGCAGAGATCTAGCACTTCACTTGCGCATCTTGCTGTGCTGAACATGCCAGCACACATCATGGACGCAGTTTTTGAAGGTGTGTGATGCGCATGGTGTTAGCTGGGGTCCGGGGTGTGTATGATCTTAGCTGGGTTAGCTGCTTCTCATTTAAAGCACGAGTTAAGCATCCCCTGCCTCCAGGAGCAAAGGCTCTCCAGCAGGGAACTGTGCCGAGCATGCAAAGGTGACAAAGGTGCCCGGATGTTTATTGTGATGCTGGTGTCCTTGTCAGTGTGTACGGTGTGCTTTTACTTTCGTAAGACAGCGTCACCCCCCACATGCGCAAATTCCAAGAGCATCTGGCGTTTGCTGGCGGCAACCAGCTGCGACAAGTCCACCGTTTGACCATTGAGCATGCATGAGCATGCCACAGCTTGCCTCAACCAGAGCTCCACAAAACACATGACCGGGTCGGCTATTGAAATCAAGGAACCATGGCCCACGTGCATGTTGCGCAACTGCAGCCTCGTTTGCCTTTTGTGCGGGGCCTCTGCAAGAGTGGGTGGAAATTGAACGCCATGGACTTCAGCCAGACTCTGCGTGTTTTTTGTGTCATTTGTGTTGAACCAGCAAACCCTGCTGTTTCTTAGTTCGTTCCTTGCAGCGTTGACCTGGCAGGTTCCGAGCTCCGCGGCCGGCTCTAGCAGCTCCAGGCATCCGACTGTGGAAGGCCCCCGCTTTCTTGCTCAGGGTGCTGCCGAGTGCTGTAACATGCTGTAACCAGGCTGAGAAAAACCCACCCTGAAACTTCGCAGGGGTTGCAAAAGCCGTATGAGATCGTTCTGGGGGTCTTTGGCTGTTACTTCCCGCTTTTTTGTAGGGCCGCTGGCATGCCTCTTGAATGTTCTCCCCCCCCCCCCCCCGCCCCCGCCACCAGGGCCCCGCCTCTCAGAATTCATCCACTCATCCACCACGCACAGGCTATCCGGACCACTCCTCTGCAGGTCGGCTCGGCGTACCGCTCGCGAGCGCAGCACACCCAGCAAAAAAGAGTCTCGTCGAAGTTCCTCACTGTCAGGGGGAGACTTTTGAACATCGTTCGAACATCGCCCGATTCAGCTTTTTTCGAGGTGACGACAGCACATGCCCAGGAGCAACGCGGTTTACACGGTCGGTAGCTCAGTCTGGACATTCGAAGCCTCTCGTGCAGAGCACTGCGCAGCAGCTGCAGCGAATGCCAAGCTGCTCTAACAGCAGTTATACAACTTGGAAACCTTTGCGCAGTTCAACCCAGTGCAACCTGCACCATCCTGCACCCAGCTCCCATCGTTCCTGCTCCCTACAGTAAGCCACCTAAGCTTCGAAACACTTGCAGGCGCGAGGGTCCAGCACTCTCCTGGAGGCACCTTCCTGCTGGTGGAGCTGGGATGCGACGCCATCACAATGCTCCATGCTGGCGTGCTGATGGTGATGACCGCGAACGTGTTTGAGAGACACTGTCCAGAGCTCCAGGTCTTGACAAATGCAGCGATCCCTTTACCAGCGGATGCAGTCATGCTGGGCCCCATCTTAGACCTCCGCCCACACAGCACTTACTTTGATGAGCCTGTGCTACTCATCTTTCCTGTCTGCATCGGGGCAACAAAGGCCTGGCGCTCTTCGGACGATGGAAGGTGGGAGCACCTGACCGACGCTGAATTCAGGGCCGGGCACGCGATCCTCCGCCTGGACCACTTCTGTCAAGTAGTTGTAGGGACCGATGGACAGGCACAGGCGCCTATCTTAATTTCATGCTACATGAACGACAGCTTCCATGCCAAGTGGGCCATCACACATGCTGGTTGCTCCAGGTGTGCGGAGGCGATGCAAGCTGCTTTCCAGGAAGAGCTCGTACTCAAGAATTACAGGTTGTGTGAGGAACCTCTATGGGCAGGAGTTTATGGCCACATGGAATCGCTAGACCTTGCGTGGCAATGGCCTGAAGCGCCACCAGAGGGGCCAAAAGGCCCAAAACGGATCCCAAAACATCTGGATCCAGAACCTGGGAGTGTGAACTTTGAGCGATTTCCCCTCGTCTCGAAGAAGTGGATGGCATCGGGGCATGCGGTGGAATTGTTTATTCAAGACCATCGAGACGTTCGCCACTGCGAATTCTGTGGCCTGGCGAGGCAAATCATTATGTCAATTAATTGACCTGGTTTCAGATAGTTTCAGATTCCCTGTTCTGATTGAACAGAGCTCAATAAGTTCGATTGCAGAGGGGCCCTGCGCCGAGGCTTGCCAGATGTGCCACAGACATTGCTAACAGCTTTAGAAGCTGGTGAAGTGTGCCCCGGGGCACTTGAGGAGGTGTTTGCATCCAAATTCGGAAGGGTTCTTCTACCAATCGATTGTTTTTCACCTTGCCAGGCTTGTATCCAGACTTAGAAGTACCAAGTAGCACCCATGAACCTGCATGAAGAGCCTATATTGTAGCAGCTACGGCAAGCCCCCAGCTTTGGCACTCATGGCTGTGTATCAGCGAGAGTTCAGAATGCCAGGTACATCCGTGCCTCTTCATGTCGAGTTGAGGTGCGCGAATATGCGAGATGCCGATGTCATGTTCCAGCGAGATTGCCCTTGACAGATGCTGTGGCGCGAAGAGCTCCCAGGTATCTGCTGAGAGCAGCGAGGATTCTGGATCCCTTAGCAGCCCTGAGCCGCTTGTCCTCGAAGGCGAGGATGCTGCATGACGCCACATTTCGGCACCAGCTCCCCTTGCAAGAGGCTGGAGCGGGGATGCGCCGCGGTCGACAAGAGAGCTGATGGAGAGCGCCGTTCTTCCCTCAGTTACTTCAAGCCACGCAGTGGCTATACCAGTGCACCCGTGCTTCAGCTGTTTCCCACCTCCGCTATCCTCCACCGACTTGCTGGAGGCTCCCAAGCACAAGGACAAGCGCCGCGCGTGCCGCGCGCGCACCTTCACCATCCGTGCTGGGGGCCCCAGGTGTCGGACTTCATCCGGGCATAGAACTGCGGGTCGACGGGGTGGTGGACATGTTGTGAATCCCACTTCCCCGCGAGCAAAACAGGCATAAACACCACAAGTGGGCAGGCTCAAGGCCTCGCAGGGAAAGAAGAAAAACAACAGCAGCAGCAGCAACAGCAACAGCAACAACAACAACAACAACAACAACAACAACAACAACAACAACACCAGTCATCTACTTGAAGTCTACTTGACATTTTTCATGAGGCACTTCTCGGATTGCTTCTCAGGTTCGTTGCTTTCAGAGATGTCAGAGCGTGGCAACTGCAGCGCCGAGGCGTTCGTTCGGGACGCCAGCCGGTACAAGGCCGACTTCATCCTAAGTTGCTTGCCCAAGTAGGAATTGAACACCCTGGACCCCGTGCCCATGTGCACAAAACCCACTCTAGTGCTGGGCTTGCTGTATTCTGTTGTATTCGGCTTTCAGAAGCGCCGGTCAAATCCGATGCGAGAAACTTCCAAGATCACTAAATCTTTTTCGTGGAAGCTCGCGGAAGCGATGATGCGAATGGTTGCTGCGGAAGCATCCGTAGAGGCCATCCTTGCAACATGATGCGAGTAAGTATCGCCAAAAGATTGCCAGAAGAGGGCAGAATCCGTGGAAGCTGCCATCCAGCTACATTGGCAAGCAGTTGCACCGAAGGCTCTGTCATTTCTGTTGCAGGATGACCAAGGGGAAATTGCTGCAAGATGGACGGTTCAGTTTTCAGCAATGAACGTGAGCATTGGTGTTGGTTCCCTAAGCCCACAATTTCTGGCAAGCCCAACTTTTGGTGAGACCCTAAACCCTAAAACCTAAACACGAAAATGGAGAGTTGTAGACACCCCCCCTTGTTTGCTTCAGGGGGCGCAGCACTCAATTGAGCCCTGCCAGGTGCCAGCTGCGGAGCCCACGGAGTCGACATCAGATTCACAGGACGGGCGCAGGATTCTCTCATATTTCCTATATAATTTCATATGGATGGTTGTCAAAATTATGGTCCCTTTGTGGATCCCTACTATAATACGGCACCTACTATTTAGGGTACCCCAAAAGGGATCATAATTTTGACAGCCACCCATATATGTATATATTTCTAGTAGTATATATACAGAAGGGCCTGCCATGGGGGCCTGCGTTTTTACATACCATACTTCCATGTAGAATTCTTTCGCTTGGGTGTGTGTTGCGGGCTTCGTAGTTCTCATGGCAGGCCCTTCTACATAGCATCATCTTGCTGAGGCTTGTCAAACTAAGAAGCCAAGATGTTTGGAAGTTGTAAACACGGAATTGTAAACACGCACCGTGTTTATAAACACGCACCGTGTTTATAAACCGGCTGGGTGTTTATAAACATATCAATCTTTGGGCGGGGGTTGTTAACACGAAATTGTAAACACGCACCGTGTTTATACACATGTCAATCTTTGGGGGTGGTGGGGTGGGGGGGGATGTTGAGGCTGAGAGTCCTTCCCCCCCCCCCCTTTCCCCTCCCCTCCCCCATCCCCTCCCAGCCTTTGCCTGCCGCAGATTCCGCAAATTCAAACATCGAGCATCAGCCTTCTTACTCGACTCGATTGCGTCGGCGAAAGGTTCCACTGAACCCAATTTTGCTGACTCAATCTTAAACGGGTAAGGTTTGGTCCTTAAGCTGAGACGAATAAGGTTTAGGAGTAGGGTTTGATAAACATTAAACGAAAAAGCTTCAGGCATAGGCACAGGGTTCAGCGAACAAGGGTTAAGAATCAAGCTAAGCCCATGAGTCCATGCCCCTCCCCTCTCCCATGGGTTTAGGGTTTAGGGTTTAGGGTTTAGGGTTTAGGGTTTAGGGTTTAGGGTTTGCAACCTCGCCCTGCCCAGGTAGGTGCGCGGTCTAGGAATCTGGACCAGAAAGACCTACTTGTCTGGCACAACATCCTTAAATGTTATAGGAATAGGTTTAAAACCTTAAACAAGTATGTATACATCTTGGAAGAGGGTCTGACCCTAAGCCTTAATCGAGTAAGGTGTTTAGAAGTCTAAGCCTTAAACGCGTTGGGTTTATGAGTTGCTTACTTATGATTCTTGAGGATAGTTTATGTGTTTTACATCCTTAAATGTCAAAGGAATAGGTTAGGAATAAGATATGTGTGTCCCTAAAACTTAAACAAGTATGCATAAATTCTGGAATAGGGTCTGACCCTAAGCCTTAATCGATTAAGGTGTTTCGAAATCTAAACCTTACACGCGTAGGGTTTATGAGTTGCTTACTTATGATTCTTGAGGATAGTTTATGTGTTTTACATCCTTTAATGTCAAAGGAATAGGTTTGGAATAAGATATGTGTGTCCCTAAAACTTAAACAAGTATGCATAAATTCTGGAATGGGGTCTGACCCTAAGCCTTAATCGAAAAATGTGTTTCGACATCTAAACCTTTAACGCGTAGGGTTTATGAGTTGCTTACTTGTGATTCTTGGGGATAGTTAACGTGTGAGTCTTATCCTTGAGAAATGAGCACTCTTTTGGAGACCCTTTGAGAAACATTGTGGGCGCAGAACATAGTGAAAGGATATTTGCTCACAGTATTTTCGCGTCCCTGGGCCGTGCACATAATTCATTTTCTCGCCTCACTATATGCCCTCAAATACTTCCTAGTCTTATGGTTTGAGGATTACGACCCTTTCCTCTCCATGTTTTCTATTTGATATACAATGCACACACCCTAGATATAGACACATTCTCGATGTGGGCAGTTATTCTGCATGCTCTTTGCACATGCAGGCATTGCTTAGGGAAAATGCTCACTCATTGTTTCCCCGGAACTTTATGTTTACCTGCTAATCTTTAAACGAATAAGGTTTGGCCCAACATCTTAGACGAAAAAGGTTTTGGCATAGGGAGTGAACGGATATTTGTTGGAAGTACTCTCGCTTCTCTGATTCCTACATGAAATAGATTTATTCGCATCTCCATGTTCTCTATTTGACGACAATACATACACTCTATATACATACGCGACGTGGGTAGTTGTTCTAGATGTTCTTTGCGTTTCCACAGGAAACAAGCCCTACACTTTGTAGGCATTGATTCGGGGGACGGCTCACGCATAGTTTTCCCCTAAACTTTGTTTTTATTCAGTCAATCTTAGACGAAGCAGGTTTGGCCCTAAATCTTAGAGGAATAAGGGCCAGGTTTAGGAATAGGGTTTGGCTTAAGCATTGAGCGAATATACTTCAGGCGTAAGATTCAGCGAGTGAAGTGTAAGGCTTGGGACGAAACCTGAAACGAATGAGGTTTAGGAGCAGGGTTCGACAATGTTACCCCGCCTGGCATGTGGACTCCTGTTCATCCAACACTTTGGTTCACGAAACATATCCCACTCAGCATGTGTAGCTGGCTTCAACCAAAAGCTTTATTCATAATAACATCGTCGACATGGGGTACTTCGACAAAACGATGGCGACTTGTATGCTGGGTGCACGCAACATTCGCATGGAAAACGCAGGCCCCATGACCGGCCTCTCTCTCTCTCTCCCTGCATATGTATGTATATATATATATATATATATTTATTTATTTATTTATTTACATATTTGTGTTTTTTGTTGAAATTTGTATTTATTTGTTTGTTTATCTCCTGCCGTGCGACCCCTTTATATAACCCCTGTTACCTCTCTGCTGTTCCCCCCCTGCTTCTTTGTCAGGAGGCCGGGCCACGGCCGGCATTCTTCAGCCTGCGCTTCGACAAGGGTCCGGTGGAACAGACGGCGAGGAACGTCTGCGGCATGCTAAGGGAGCGCGGCTGCGAGGTGTACATTGTGGAGGGCAGTCCGGAGGACTTTGGGAAGCTCGTGGACAGGTACCTTCTCAGAATCTTGCAGATGAAGGGGGTCTTCGTGGCCTTTTGCACAGAAGACTATGGCCAGTGCACTGGCAACTCGTGGGCGACGTACAGAGAGCTTCGGTTTGCCCACGCCTACGACAACGACATCGAGATCATGTCGCTGAAGATGGCCGAGGTGTATCCCCCACGACCCGAGCATGAGGATGCGCTAGCTCTCGTCACCAAGGTGCTGCACCCAGGCCTGACCTACACAGACTGCATCGGTGTCTCTGATGAGAAAGTTGCCGACAAAATTGAGAAGAGGCTGCGAAGACCCCGATAGCCTCCCTGGAGAGGTGGGAGAACTCAAGCAGCTGCTGAGGCTACGTCCGGGACCCATACTTCTGCGGCATACTGCGGCTTTGCTGCGGAATACCTCTGCGGCCCGGCTGAGCCGACTCCTCGATGCCTCGATGCCCCAAGCGAGTGAGTAGAGACGCAGTGCAAGTTGCAAAAGCGCCAAGAAGCCAACCGACAACGGCTTCCTAAAAAGCAGGTCGTCGCCCAGATACCGGCATTGACAATCTGTCCGGTGTCGGAGCCAGTGCAAGCATCACGTTTCTCGCCTTGCACGCAATGAAGCGCGCAAAAGTGGAGTCTGATGAATGGCCCCGTGCAGAAGCCAGCTCCAGACCAACGGGTGCACACAGACAAGCTAGCCCTAACACCTACTTGTAAGCCCTAAACCCAAAAGGATAATCTGTGGATTCGCCCCAGCTGTGCAGGAGTGAAAAAAAGGATAATCTTGCAGAAAGACTATGTCGTTTTTCGGCTGATAAGACTGTTCCATGCCATGCCCGTACATTTTTTAAGCCTTTAGCTTCGCCGAGACGGAGATTTTGGCCATGACTTCGAGATGTTTCCCGAATTCTCAAAGTAAACCCTAAACCCTAAACCCTGGTCAGCTAAGCGGGTGGCAAAAAAAAAAACCCGAAACCCCCTAAAGGAGGCGGAAGGAAGTGCTTTGAGGCTTTGCTTTTCGCGCCTTTTCGGCTTCTCCTTGGGAGTTTTTTCGGCAAGCCCCGACTGTCTTCATCCGTCTGCTAGGGTTTAGGGTTTAGGGTTTAGGGTTTAGGGTTTAGGGTTTAGGGTTTAGGGTTTAGGGTTTAGGGTTTAAACAGAAAGGACGGCGCTGCTTCCCTGTGCGAAAAATTTGAGTTGTCCTAGCAGTTGACCTTCAAGACTGCTCCTGTTGCTGAAAACTAACGCGTGGTGGCGGGCCTGCACAAGGCAGCCAAGCCTCTTATTTGCTAAGCATCTCATATCTGAGCGCATGCGTCACTTGCGCTTTCAGACAGTTCGTCTCTCAAGGGGATATGGGAATTGATACTTTTGGCATTGAAGAATCGAGGGTGAGTACTTGCAATGCCGAAGAGTTTCGAGTTCTTTGGAAACTAGAAATGCATCTTAGATATTTCAACGAAAAGAACAAGGAAAGCAGAGCGATTGTGAGATCCAATGTTTTTGGACATAGATGCCTCAGACCTTAGTTTTCGGGTTTAGGGTTTAGGGTTTAGGGTTTGGGGTTTGGGGTTTGGGGTTTGGGGTTTGGGGTTTAGGGCGATCACTGCTTCGGCTGCACAAGCACCTCAGGACACAGGAACGCTGGGAATGTCGGGGGAAGAGGGCGCTCCAAGTTGGATTTTGACAAAGCTTAGAGATTGGGATTTCAAGTCCTGGGACGGGAGGGGGGCTGGGTGGTTGGCAACGTTTC